GTGGCAGAACTCCACCTCGGTCTAAAAGGATGGCGACGTCGTCTATTTTCATTTCTAGTTTCCTTTGTAGAATTTTCTTTCTTTTTAAATGTGAATTGAATTTTTGAATTTTGAAATTTAAATTTGAATTCAGTTTTTTTTTTAATTAATTATTATTTATTTATTTAGTAATGGGTTGTTTTTGTTTATTTAGAGGGGACTGAAGAACGTGTTTGACGAGGCCATCCTGGCAGCTCTGGAGCCTCCGGACACCAAACCCAAAAAGCGCTGCGTTCTGTTGTAGACGCCACGACAAGAAGAAGAAGAGGATAGGAGAAGGTGGAGGTGGACCAGGAGGAGATTATTAACCCAGATGGGAACTGAGGGGGGGAGGGTAGACGCATTTAAACAGTGCCTTCAGCCATAGTGACTTAACGTGGGTGTGGTGTTAGAACGGATAGGCGCTTTGTTTTCATCACCGTAACATGACTAACATGTTTGAGCAACACTCTTCGCTAACCTGGAAACAGGGTTTTAATAATCGCAGGAAGCAGATTGAGCAATAGTAGTTTAAACCTCAGATGCCTTGAAGATACAAACAATGGATGGAGTCACGTTAGCAGCTGAAACTTAACAAAAACTTTTAAAATCATTAAAAAAATCTACAAGGAACTGTATAAAATATCTGAAATAAATGTTGGGAACAATGTGTTGGGTCAGTAAACTGCTGCTTTATATTTGTGACACTTGTGTTAGTGATTGATCTGCTGTTGATTTCATAGCCTTGAAATAATTTGGTAATCAGAGTTTGAACGGCTGTGGTGTACAGTAGCAGTGACGGGCGCTACACTGTTGATCTCAACAATAGCTTTTTTTAATTTGTTAACTTTTCCACGTTAAAACAAAAAAACTTTGAGCAGTATTTTTCCCTTTTCTTTTGTTAACATAAAGATTAACTCTGTTTACAGATTTTGAATTTTTATTTTTAACCTTTAAACCAAAAAATCATATGCAGTTGTGCAGGCTTTGTGGATTTGTGTAAGACATAAGAGAGACACGTGGCACTCGTAGATTTTCAGCTGAGGACTCTCTAAATACAAAAAATAATAACCTACAGGAGAAAAAAGCCTATTTCAAGTCAAACCTGTAGAGCTGCTTTGATTAGATTTGACTGTTGCTTCTGTAAGTGCAGTTTTGATGTCCTGGTCAGCGGTGAAGTTAAAAGTATTTAAGGTAGTGCTTTAAAATAATTGTCCAGAGGTGTTTCAGCGTAGCTGCTGAGTGGCTGTGTTTGCTTCTAGAAAGCCTTTGTTGACATTCTCATCCTGTGGCGAAAAATCCTGTGAAACTTGAGGTAAAGGAGCTAGTTTGCTCTTAATGTATCCACAATACAATTCAAGCAAGTCCTTTTGAAGAAAGCAGGACATCTTTCCAAGCAGCTGTAGTTTGATCCCAACACAAGGTCAGATAAATCCTAAAGTAGATAAACCCATCCACCTCTGCTTAAACTGTAGATTTAAATGTAATCAAAAGTGTTGATCATAAGAAAGTCAACATTAGTGCTGTTTTATTCGGTCACTGGTTTCAAAAAAGCAACAAAAAGAGCATCAACAAACATCTAGCCGACACCTTTGGGCAGTAAAAAAAACCTCCTAGCTGTTTCCTCCAAACACTGAAAGAATGAGCGTTTAACCCAACATGCTGGAGTGAACTCACGCCTGCAAACCGACCAGGGGATTCAAACAAGGAACCTTCCTGCTGTGAGGCAACGCTGCTAACCGCTGCAGCTCCAGTAGCCTTCAGTTTAGGATTGTTTGAGAGCCGTGTCTCCTCCTTATAACGCCTCTGCGTGCTGTAGGTGCGAGTTCTGTAACTTGACTTCATCCGTGTCAAAAAGAATAACTGAGACTAAACATTTACTAACTGGGCAGAAGCTGCACGTTACAGGACAACGCATGCATTGGTGTGCACAGTAGCTAACAGTGCCTCAATCTGTAGCTGAGAGAAGTTAGAAACTCGATGTTCTCATGTGGATGCATTGCTTTCCAAAGTAACAAAAATAATATTCAGACTCTTTAAGTCTTGAATTGTCTGAGATTTCTCAAGTTCCACCTGGTAACAGGACAAATGTGGGATATTCAGGAAATCTGAAGTCATGCAGTTTTCACCTGACCACAGAAACGGGAATGTTTTGCAAGAATTTGCATGCAACTGCACACAACATTATATAACTCCTAACAATAACTTTTAACTGTAAACATTAGTAGAGATATTGAAAAAGATTGGGCGAAATGTTCCTTTAGAACGAGTCACTGTGTGAAAACTGTGAGACGCGCCTTTTTTAAGTTTCTTAAATGTTTTCCACCTTATTAAACTGTTAAAGTCGACACAGACAAACGGCCCACGTGTGACCTCCTCTTGTTTTGTTCACTCCTGCTTCGCTGCTCCAGGCTAGAACCCGAGGTGGTTCTCTGGTGACTCGTTGGCTCCTCCTGGAGGCCTTAAAGGGGATTAGGCTGGTTTAAAGGATTCTGTGTGTCATTTCATTGGCTAAAATCAGACTGATCAGTGTTTGAGAAGTTAAAGTTGAGTCTTTTAAAGACATCAGTTCTACCTTCATTCATCTTCTAGCGGCTTCACAGTTTTTATATTTCATTTTACTACCTTTAAATAAGGAAGTGCTGCGCTGACCTTTAGAAAAAACCCTCCTCAGTGACTGAATTTTCCCAGTCATTTATTGAAACCTGCTGCTCTGACAGCAAACTTGGACTGAAAGAGTCGGTGCTGCTTGTTTTTATTCATCTTTCATAAAGTTAGTTAAAGCTACAATCAACAAACCTCTGATCTGAGGATGGTTTAAGGCGGTATGACTGGTGAGATGTTAAAGTTCTCTGACACTGATCAGGAGTCAGTAACACATTTGAAACCTTTAAACTGAAATCATTTCCCATTCAAATGAACTGAAATTCCACTTTCCCTCCTGTTTCTTTTCTATGGTTGATGATGGTTTATTCTGATTATGTATGGATGATTATAAGTATTATATAGATTTTTTTTCTTTATTGTTTCCTGGTGATTTTTTTTAACTTGGTGTTTCTGGAATTTTAATTCCTTTTCTCTTTAGACGTTTTTTCTGACACTTGATGGTTGAGTGCCAACAGCTGGTTCGAGTATTGCTGGCCGGGTTGAAACTAAGTGATAACAAGCTTCTAATGGCAGGAGAGAAACATGAGAGCCGAAGCAAGAATTAAAGATGTTTTAAAAGATGAATGTTGGAAGTGGTGGGTGTTTGGAAATAATAAAACCAGTACTTGAATGTTTTTTTTTCACTGGGACTTTATTTGTTGAAATTAGAAAACTGCTTTTTTATCTGTGTGATTGCCAGGATCTTTTTAATTTGTTCATTTGAAATCAGACTGCCTCTTCATGGATGAAAGTATAAATGTTTCAAAATTAGATGGAGGATTTGTAGTTGTTCTTTTCAAATAGTCTTAATAATCTGAATGTATAATCTTTTGCTCTTGTTTTTTTTAAAACAAACAACAACAAAAGATGTGAGGACAGTTAGCTTGTCTGAGAACTTTAGCTTAAGGAATATTAATTTGGTTGTATGAATATATCTAATTATTCCTTTTATTTAAAAAAAAAAAGTGAAAGATGCTTTAAATACTTCAAAAGCAAAGGGCAGCGTAATTAAAGATATGACACTTTTTCTTAACTAAATAACAAAAGTAATTGTTTTCCAATTAGTAACAGACCGACATCCACACTCAACAGGCACTTTGTTAGGTCCACCTGCATGGCTACTTTAAGTGCAAACATTCATCAGCATAACTCAATAACTTAGACATGCAGACACAAGCAAGACATTCTGAAGTTCAAACGTCAGAAGAAAGGTGACTCATGGTTGTGGTTGGGATATGCCTGCACAACCATCTTTGGGGTTTACATAAAATTGTCTGAATGACAGAAAATATCCAGTAAGCAGCAGGTCTCTGGGTAAAAATTACTTTTTAGAGCTGATAGAGAAGCAACAGTAACTCCAAAGTCCTTACAGCCAAGATGAGCAGTAGAGCTACGGTAGAAGACCACACTGGTCCTGAGATAGACATATAGTTAATTAACTATTACTCATCGTAGGGAAAAAAAACACCATAAACAGACATGAGAACAGGAAACTGAGGTCCTCACTCACACAGGAGATGATGAAGATATTTTAAATTATCTGCAATAATAACTGAATCAGTTTGCTCATTAAAGCTAGACTTTTAAAAAAGTGTTCAATTGGTTTGGCACATTTAGTCCTCCGTAAATACACGGTTGGTTTTCAATAATGCTGGTTAGTACAGGACCCACACGGCGCTTTCTCTGACTGACAAAGGAGCATGAACTGATTTCCTTTTTCTTTTTTTCGTTTTTTTAGATAGCGCTGATTGTAATTGTTTAAAGTCACTTTGGGCTTCTGGGCTCCAGAAGCCGATATGGAGCCGGTGATCCCTTTGGGCGGATGTGAAGTGTCAAAAAGGGATCGAGATCAGAAAAATCAGGCCAAGAGGACGAGTTATTTCTTTATTTTACTTATAACGCCTTTAAACCCTGTTGGCCACAGACTATTTACCAATACAAGCAAAGTTATTACACATGGGAAACACAGAAACATTGGAAATTATATTTTGGCACCTCGCGTTTTCTTAGTGGACTCTCAAAGACGCATTTTCAGTGGGAAATGTGTCGCGGTTCAGACTCTGTACCTGAAAATAATCAGAGCACAGAGTGTCTGCAGCTGTTTAAATTAACTCCAAAGTAAACAAAATCAGTTTTAGCGTCTTAAAGTTATTTAAGCCTCATCTTCACTCAAATATTTACATTATGTCCAAAATCCAACTGGGATATTTCGATTGATTCCAACACGACAAATGATTGATTATTGATCAATGTGTTCTGTGCCTTAAAAAAACCCTTTGCAAATGAATCAGCTCTTCTTCGCACTTTGGCAGCGGCTGTGAATGAGGAAATGAATCAGCTGGCTCAGGTACAGCAGGAAGGGAGGAGATAGAGGGACACTCAGTTTGCTGAAGAAAATCTGACAGCGAGCAGGATTAGTTCACGGGGTCTGTTACCCCGGTAACTAACTTGGAGTTGACGTTTACTCGGTCTGGAGCAGAAAACCCGAACTTGGCCTCAACCCTGGATTATCAAACTCAGAGCTGATCGCTAAACCCGCTCCCGGAATAAGACCTAGCGGTCCATCGGCTGTGAACAGGAAAGGTAGGAGCTGCCAGTTATTATAAACTGCGATTTACTGACAATAAATACTCAAATATCTTCAGGGTACCTGTGGCAACCAAGACATTGGAGATTTAAAAATGATGGTAATGTGTGCGTTTTAACTCAAATTGTTATTTAAATTATTTTTTATTGCCTGAACATTTTGAGAATACACGTCTTAAACTTCAGTAAATAACAAAATATAATTAAAATAACACATAGGTCATGTATTCAGTGGTGTTGTTTGTCTGGCCAACTTGAAATCAGATTATGCTGAAGTTAAATAGTTTCATTTTTAAAATGAGCTCAATGATGAAAGTCATTTGCTGCAGTCTGCAGAACAGGAGTATCTGGATGCACCTGATAAACAACAATGTTTGACTTCCCAGATAAGAAGATGACATTTAGAAAAATGTTGGCCTGTCACCTGAGTCATGATTACGGTCGACTGTGGAATCTTAGTGCAACAAAAGGTCAGATCAACTTTAAAATACTGATGATCCTCGGACGTTTACATAAAAAACACTTTTTGAGCACTTTTTCAGATACTGATCGTTACACGTCCTTGTCTCTGTTCGCCTACATCATTAAACTAGTGCATTTTTGCTGTTTAAAGTATCATAGTTACACCTCATGATATTTAACCCTGAAACCCTTGGTCACCCTAACCCTTGGTGTGACAGAGGAGGATATTGTGATAGGGTGCGATGTTGGCAGATGTGGTGACTCCTAAAAGGACCAGCCAAAAGAAGAAGATGATGAATGTATAACTGTCTTCACTGAATTAAAACAACAACAACACAGTCAGCTAATTGTGAGGGGGTCATGGGGAACTTTCTCAGATTTGACTGCTTTTGTATCAAATGAACATGGTTATCATATTGTCTGAGGTGTTCTGTTGCCACGGTTACCCCACCAAGGAGGCAGAGGCCAGAGGTGCAGGGCAGAGAGCGGGGAATAGTCTCCAAAGTGAAAAGCCCTTCAAACATCTCTGTGCTGCACTCGGCGATGGACATTTTAAAAAAGGACAAAATTACTTTAATGGTAAAGGCAGCGCACACACTTAACCAGTGATGTGTGTGTCCCAAGGTTCATGAACTTACCATGATTTAAGGCGTCAATGAGCATCATCACATGCTCTGCTCACCTCAGAATCGCCTTGTCATTGGGAACCATCAACCAATCAGAGCATAGTTGTGGTAGACTTAGGAGAGAGAAGTTCTAGGAGTCCAATATCAATATTTATATTATATTTCTAAATACTTTCAAGTTGTGCCAAGAGATTATGACACACTAATCTGAATCTCTTTCTGGATGCGCAAAATCAATTCGTGCCTGATGTGGAAGAAGAAAAAAGAAAGAAAGAAGATACGTAGCCTCTTAAACATGAAGCAATAATGTGTTTGGTCTAAACTGAATATATACCAATCAAGTACATTTGACCAGATTCATTTACATTTAAGATTTTACTCTGTAATTAAAAGTAATCAAATTAGTTAAAATCAGCATTTTTAGCATGAATATTTTCTTGAGTGTTGGTGGTCTGCAGTCTGGTCTTGTTCTGTTTGTACTGACATCAGTTCCAAATTTACAGTGACAACTTTTATTGTTTGTTACTGTAACCATAACTGTTACAGTATCATACATATAATAAGTCTATTTAAGCACAAGTGTCTAATTAAAATCAGCTGCATACTGTAGATGACACTCCAGAGACTCCCTCTGTTCCCCTGCCTCACATTTACTGTTCATTCATTCTTTGCTTCTTCATCATCTTCCATCCTCCTCCTCAGATGTCCACTATAAAGTGCGTGATGTTGGGTGACCTTGAAGTGGGAAAAACCTGCCTGTTCATGTCCTACACGGTCAACAAGTTTCCCTCTGAATACGTGCCCACGGTGAGGTGAAAGTCTGCAGACATGCAGCAGCATTCATTTCACTTTATTCCATGTAACACAGTGTACAGCTCTTGTGCTGTTCCAGGGTTTTTATGCATAGAAGAACTGTCAGCGCCCCCTTTCAACACTGTGATGAAGCTATTACTATTTATGAACCCATAATATTACACAGAGGAGTGTTTTTAATGGACCTATTTGTGTTGTGTTGTGTTGAAAAACATACAAGTTAAACACCACTTATGATGAAAAAGATTTTTTGTGTAAGGATCCTTGGTCAAGACACTGAAGCCCAAACTGCTTTGATAAATCAGTGTGAGTGCATGGAATAAATCCAATTTTATTATGAAGAACATCTGTAATCAAGTCCTTTTGGCGGGTTTACTTCCTTCCTGTTGTCTCTTTCTTGTTCTCATTCCTCAGCCTCTGTCTCCTCCAGGTGGTGAACACTTACTCCATGACGGTGATGATCAGAGAGGAGGAGTACACTCTGAAAATGTGCGACACTTCGGGTAAAGACAAACATTTCTGCTCTCAGTTTAATAACTAATGAAACTCTGTGTTGTATAATATCAATCTTCATACCAGCAGCAGTCACATACATATAGTCGGAGCAATATTTCCTATAACGCTCAGAGCTGATTGTGATGAGCAGTTTCCCCACCGCTGACGAGACAACTCACACGTTATTTTAAGATTCAAGAATTTTATTGTCATATAAACCGCAAAACACAAGTGGTTACGCAGAGCAATGAAATTCTTACTTTGCAAGTTCCCGTCACACAACTAAATAAACAGCTGACTCAAATAAAGAACAAACTTAACTCTGAACATAGAAAATAATACATAAAGTAAAACAAGTGCTTATGTAGGTTATGCGTGGCTGTAGTCAGAATTTGAGGTGGTGATATGTACAGAATATGCAATATTAAAATTGTTTATATTGTATATATAAACAATTTATTATATTGTATATGCTCTCAATTTGTTACCCCTGCTTCTGTCATCACTGCGACAGAGCAGAAACTGACCCAGAACAAGCATTAGTGGAAAACCAGTGTCTCTATAGCCATGTGACCCTGAAAAGCTAAAGTGGTCTTCACATAGGAACACATGAAAACTGAAAGTTTTCTAACAGTTTTGTTTTCACTGTTAGAAATTCAAGTGATACAAATTAAATAAACAAACCTATAATTAGATAAAAAGGTTTAGACTGCAGATTAGTGTTGGCATAGCCTGTACATAAAAGATGGACATTCTTTATCTACTTGTGTACAGTCCTCAATGAACTCGTGATTTATTTACATCTCCTTGCAGATAAAATGGGGGGAAAACTTTAGGTTTTACAAATACAGAATTGATAGTATGGGCAGGCTAATGTCCAAACTGAAATAAAATGACACTTGTGTCTTTATTTTTCCCACTGTCAAGCTGATTTTACCCATGAAATGCATTCTTTTATCAGCGAGGCAAGCCAGCTGGAGGTGAGATAAGGACCCAGAACGTAGGCAGTGACTTAGATGTGAGTGAGCTTTATTCACAAGGAGAGCAGGATACAGCAGGAGTGGAGATGACATACACAGAAACCCTAAACTGGGAAATCTAATAAAACAGAACTAAAACCTGAATCCACAGGAAGCCACAAAGGGAGAAACTCACGGAGGAAACACAAAACGATGTGCGGGAGTACGCTGTTATCGCCCCGGCTAGCTATCGAGTGGTGGGTAACAGATGTCTCCAAAAATGTCGGAGCGCTTTTGCAAATATGTGATATCTTGATAAACCGATATTTGAAGTTTACCCAGCTACATTCTCGCCTGAAAATATCTTAAAAGTTTACTTTGTGACCCAGAAAGAGTAATAAGAGTCATTTTGAAACTGAAATTGGCTGGGCCGCGCTGTGAATTCTGGGATATGGTGGGCCACGAAGGATACTCCCGACCCATCCTTCAAATTCGGGAAAAGGAGAACGCATTTGTCGGCTGCGTTTGGAGGAGTCTACGCATTTGGACGGCTTTTGTCGCGTCGCTGTGACGTAATCGGCCTGCAAATGCAGCCTCAGGAGGATGTTTGTGTCTGTTGTGAGGTTGGACATTTTAGCATGTAGAATCTACGGGAACGTCCTCACTTGGGAGGCATTTTTCAGCCTTCATTTGTTCGCACTATTTTTTGCTACTCAGACTCGTTTTGTGTCTCCCCCTGCAGGCCATGATGATTATGACAGACTGCGACCCCTCAGCTACGCCGACACTGACATCTTCCTCGTCTGTTTCTCTGTCGTATCACCCTCAACAGTTTATAGTATCAGAGAGAAGGTCTGTTTGGTTCACTTTTATTTTAATTGTTTCCAGAATAATAAGCAGACCACCTAAATGTTTAAATCGGTTCAAAGAATGTACAAAAAATTAATCCACTAGTTTTAAATTCCAAATTTGAAAAACGCAAAAAATGAGTTTTGATTGTGATCCTGTCGTGTTAGTCCCTCAAATGATTCCAATCAGCTTCAGGTTCCAACACAAAGCAGAGAATACCAGGAGCTGCTACATGACCAGGTTATTGTTCATCTGCTTACCTGAAGCAGAACCTGCAGTTGCACACAGCACGTGATCCTGCTGGCCATCAGGAAAAACAGAAATATGACAAACAGGTGGCAACTCACAAACAAATACTACCATTTCCAGATGCTTTTTTCACAATCCTGGATCAGCCCCCATTTGTTATTACTCCCAAGAAAAAAGCTGAAAGGGGAAAACAATGAGGCAAAGTTGGCAATAAAATGGTTGCTTAATAATTAATATTTAGAACTAACTATTAGAATTAATGGTTAAAGAGAGACTCAAGCTGGAAGAAAGAAAATCTGAATTTGGTACTAAAAAAGAAAGGCATAAAGAATAAGTGATCATAATCTTAAACTTATCTGTTCACAGTGGGTACCAGAGATTTTATTCCACTGTCCACGGGTGCCTTTCCTGCTGGTGGGGACTCAGGTGGATCTGAGAGACGACGGTGTCACCCTGGAGACGCTGGCCAAGAACAAACAGCAACCGGTGACCTTTGAGAGCGGAGAGAAGCTGGCTCATGAGCTGAAGGCCGTTAAATACATGGAGTGTTCAGCTCTGACACAGGTACAGAGAGGAGAAGAAGTCTGCTGCTGTGATCTCCTACGAGTCTCTGTCAGCCTTCAAACACAAAAATAAAAGAAATGTGAAAGTTTCCATTCCTGAAATCACAGGAAGTCTTTACAATTCTCTGAATTAAAAGCCTTTTGTCAAACGCTAGGGTAGCAACATATTTACCTCTGGTGTCCATCATCTGGTTCGGGGTTACCGCCATATAGCTGCAACTCTTTTACAACCAGAGGAGTCGCCCCCTGCTGGTCATTAGAGAGAATACAGCTTTAATGAACTTCTGCATTTGCTTTACATTTCAAACCCAGAAGCTTCAGCCTTCTTTTATCCTGCCCATGTGGTAAATGCAACAATCATTTTCATTCTCTTGAATGCTATTCAGTTTAAGGTGACCACAAATAGAAACCAGAAGCTTCTGGGACCCTTCCCTCCAGATTCTCAGTTTCTAGAGACAGACAACAGCAGCTGATCACATTTTACACATTTGCAATATTTGTAGTTATCCGAAGAAAGATTCTGTCTTTCCATTTGATTTATGGTGTTTCCTTTATTTCTTAAGCTGAGTGTGGTGTTCTCTCTTATTCTCAGAAAGGAGTTCAGAATGTGTTTGAAGAGGCCATCCGGGTGGTGCTGGAGACTCTACACAACAAATCCAGTCGCTGTGTCCTTTTATAGACATCACAATAAGAACAAATGGAGTAAAGGGCAGAGGAAGAGAAGCTGGAGATGTACGTGGACGTAGAAAAAGGACTATTAGCCTGGATGAGAAGAGAGAGAGGAAGGACATACATACATACATACATATATATACATACATATATATACATACATACATACACATATATATATATATATATATATATATATATAAAACTTTGGGTTACTCACATCTTAAGACTGTTGCAGAAAGCCAGAGTACAGCTGGTAAATCCTCTTGCTTTCATAGCTGCCTTGATGTGCCCATTCATTCATTTTCATTGTCCACACTGGATCATCAAATCAAATCTCCTAATGCAACCAGCCAAGGCTGCTGCTGAACAGCAACAACTAGAAAGCAGGCCTCGAGGTTCAACTGTATTAATGAGCAGTAGGACAGGTGTACCTAATAAAGTGACTGCTGAATGTATGTAGTGTGACTTTAGTGGCCTGTACAGTATTTGGTCTCACATTCTATATATTGTCTTTTTAATGGTTTTCTCCATTTCAGCAATTATTCAAAGAAACTGTTTACACTTCATTTTTGTGTCTGAACACTTTTACTGTACATTAGGCCGATATGTTTGCAGTTCTCTGTCCAAAGTCAGGAAGTTTTTAATATTTTTTTTAAACTGTTATGAAAAATGCCTTAACCAATTTGAGAGCTGAGTTAAGAGTGGTAAGAATGACATTCCTTGTAGAGTATATATATACTGGAAGTGTTGGGTATACAAGTGTGGCCTAAGTCTTTGGTCAGAAAGACTGCAGCAGTCCTGGAGTTTAGTTCACCGTCTTTAATTAAGCTTCACAGAAGAACTGGTTACATCAGGGCTTGCCATGATAAATCCAACTGTGATGCAGCCAGACATGAATTTATAATTGTAGCAGATGCAGTATAGGTGACTATAAGCATGGTTGTCTGGAAACAGAAACAGGTAATACTATAGCTAGTAGGGTCAAAGATAACTAAGAAACAATCAGAACACATCATCTACTCAGACACAGCAATAGTTCACAATGTCCACAAGGGGTCGCTGTAAGACCATAAGTTGGCTAAATAGCACATCTCTTCCAAGTTGCTAGTGGGAAGGCAAGAAGGTGGCAAGCTAACAACAATTAAACTAAACAATAAACAACAGAAAAATCCTTTAACCGCGGGATGTAATTATTGGAGGAGATTTAGGCCACTGGTATTTACTTGGTGCAAATTAATTAAATAAACCTACTAACATGATATCAGTTTACAGCGGCACAACTTTAGCTTTAACCTGCACAAACAACTATAACTATTATCACACCAGTTAACCCATCAAAGGTAATAACACTTACAGTTTCATTAACTCACACGGAATCACACAAAACTGCGTTACAACTGCTCTGCCGCTGCGCCTTTCGTCTCTCCCTCTGCGTGATGCGCATATGACAACTAATGCGCTCATTTGGGTGCGCTTGAATCTTGCCTGTAGATATCCTGAGGCCGAGTCAGCAGGGAATTTGTACATTCCTGTTGTGAGATTTGCAAAAAGGCGATTGAGGAAGCAGGGCTGCAGATACCATCCACTGGGAGCCAGCCAGTGATGCTTCGTGCAATAAGTGAGGAAGGGAACTTGAACGCATCACACCCCAGCAGGTGTGAACAGGTAGAACGAAAGGTAGGCGCTGTCAGTGACATCAACTACAACTTGACATAGTTTCGTTTTTGAAAAGAGTGCAGAACAGGACCGACTGGATGATCAAACAGTAGCACACTCAGAAGATTTCCTCTGAGTCACTATTATTACGGAGAGTATATTCTCGAGGCCAAACAACCTTCAGATCAGTGTTAAAATTGTGATGAAGCGTGACAGCACGAGGACGCTGATGCTGGAATTATACTGAAAAGCTCCTGACTGACCCGGAGAAGATACTGAGGTAGGCCACAGCCCACAAATCTCCTCTGTGAATATATCAGGCAAGCATCTGTTTGTTTTGTATTATTTGAATTCTGCATATTGTATTTTACAACCAGTTGCATCTTGTGTAGACTTTTATCTAACACCGTGCAGTCAGTCATCAGTTTTTGACTGACAAGATGAGTAAGATAATAGTTAGAGACTGAAATTAACTGGTAACCAAAAATCTTTACAACTCGTGCTCCTTTGATCTTTTTTCCCACATGTTTTACTATCACTATACTTTGAAAGTCAAATGTATTTAAAACTAGCAATAAATTCAGTGACCTCTTATTTAATGTTGTGTTTTGTTATTTATTTGTTAGAACACTTTTTCAGAAGTTTCTCGGGGAACATAAAAATCTAATTCTATACCCATCTCTATTTACTCCAAGGCTTTGTAAGTCAGAAAATAATCATAATGACAGACTGAAAGTTGTGCGGCTTCAGTAAATGGACTAAAGTTGCACATGAGAAATCAGCTGATTGGGGTTTTGTCATTTGTTAATGCGATAAATGGAGAGAGTATGCAATCAGTTCTGTTTGTGGGTTTAGTACAGAGTCTTAATGGACCATGTTCTGGCCTCCATTGCAAAGGTGGCTGGCAAGAGCTGCGGTCACCAGGCCATTGATGTTTGCTGCCTTCACATTACAGGAAGATGGAACTCCACAAATACACATCAAAGTGAGAGAAAAATTGAATAAAATATCTTCCTGAGAACCAAGGAAGAACATATTTTCTGTTTAACTGTTGTGATTTCCTGCCTGTTTGGAGCTAAAAGAGTCCACCAATACACGAGATATCATGAGATATCTTGTGTTTTATTGAGCGCATCAGGACTTAGTAGTGTCGCTTAAATAAGTCAATAGATATAGACCAAATTAATGTTCATTAGAAAGGACATAGATGAAAAAGCCGGGTCTCTCAGGAGGATATGACAAACTGATCTGGGTCCAGAGCTTCTTCTGCTTGCTGTAGGCCACAAACGGGCACTAACCCCATTACTTTTTCAAGTAACAAGTAATGTAAGGGATAACTATTGCAAACAAGTAATTTGATTACTGTTACTTTCCCGTAAGCAGGCTGTTTTACTGACAGTGAAAGTGTACATCACTGTCACAACAGTTTGTTTTCATTCAAAGGCTTTATGGCTTTTCCCATAATACCTGGTGTGCCGGTCTCTAGTCAAAATGCCCGGGCCGATTTTCTGTCCCAGTCCAGCCCTGGGTGCAGCTATCTTTTTGTATGAACACTGTAATAAAGAAGCCATCTTTCTCTCAGCAGCTTTCACACCTTTGTTGATGAAGATTTGTCTTAAATTAAAACCTGATAGTTTAATGTTGATTTCTACAAATCAGCTGAAACACTGGATTTGTGTCAGCTGTAGGTTGATCAAAGTTCAAGTTTTTTTTCTGATACCGTAAAAAAGCTGAAAATGTTTTTAGTGGTTTTATGTTGTTCACACACAAAAACTGAAGAAAGTCATTAACATGGGAATTATTCAGCTTTGTAGTTACCTTTTTTGTTATTTATTCACCTTTTTATGCCATTCAAACAAAAAATTAATGGAATAAGGGAGCAAACTAAAAATATATATATATATATATTGGTCACTGGTGTCATTAAGTCCCATCTAATTTTTTCAGTATTTTAGTATTAGACAGCAGTGAGGTCTCTTAGAGCTCAATAGCTGGTTACTCAAAAAAAGATCCTGCCTTAGACATGGTTGTTTAAGAAATCATCGGTTCAACAACGCGTTACCAGCTGAAACATTAATCACTGCAGGAATTATTCTATAGAGGGCTTTTAACTCAGAAAATGGGTAAGAATTAATAGATTAGATTATGTATATTATTATATATAGAGATTCATCATTTTTCTTCTACTTATCCAAATCAGGATCAGCCTATCCCAGCTGTCAAATGCCGAAAGTCACAGTCACAAGTTCTGCAACAGGTGAGGAGTTGAATTTTACTGGAAGCAACTAAATGCAACACAATATCACCAGCCCTCCAGGTAAGGTAGACGCTCTCAGAGACGTAATCTGCAGTTTACACTGAAAAACTGACATTGTGGATATACTACTACTCCTAAAGAAAACAAAAAGTAAGTAAATAAACCAGTAACATAAAATATACATTATTATTTTGTAGCGTTTTTGGTTTGACTCACTTGGGATTGAACTGAAATGGTTTTGCTTTTAAACATGAGCCATATCATGAAAATCATTTCCCTGCCGCAGATCGCTGAACAGGATCGACTGGATGCACCTGACGGACCGCGCACAGTGAGATGACTTCGTAGACAGCATTTGAATCATGGTGAAAATAAATCTCAGTGCTGAGTAAAACATCAGACCTGATGATACTGAAAAGTGATTCGTGAATGATCGGGAGGAGATCCTGTGCTACGCTGTGCCCCACACATCTTCTCTGGGAGTATATCAGGTAAGCATTCGATTATTTTCTATATTTGAATTGTGCAAAACGTATTTTTAGAACATAGTATAGTGTATCCAGTGATGTGCAGACTATCAGTCATTACATAGTCATTAATAGTATGACTAGTAATGACTTGTAATAGACATTATAAGTTATATTAGTATCTAAACACTTTTTAATATAGTTTGTGTGTCTCTAAACACAGTGTGCTCTGTTCATCTGTTTTAATTAAGCTTTGCTCACATTTTATGGATGTTTTGTGTTTTCTTTTGTAGATGAAGCCGGTGTCAGTCTGAGAGTTTCCAGCTTATGCCCAGAGGTGGTGGGGGCATGACATCACAAAGTGTAGGACTGAATTCACTTAAACCAATGTTAAACTAAGATTTTTCTGTACATATTCACTTATTAAAGTCTTTAATTTTAAAGTTATATGCAGATCAAAGATTCCCATAAACACACTCAGCCTTCCCAGAAGAGTTGTTGCTGTTAGGTGCAAAGGGCAGGATGACATCATCTTAAACTCCTCGATAAATTCCGCTGCATTTATTGAGAACAAGAACTCTGGTGTCATGCACTGCATGTCAGGGTCTTTCCTGGCTAAACTTCAGCCTTTTGAAGGCCTAGCATAAGCATTATTGTCTCTCACACATAATATTGGAAAGGTTACTTTTAAAATGTATCCCACTACAGATTACAGAATACATGCCTCCCAACCGTAGTAAAGGGACCTCTGGCTAATACTTCGGGTTCCGTGTCGGGCTTGTAGCCGAAAAATAGCTTTACTTTGTTGTCTGGGTCAACTTTGCTAGCGAGAGACAGAGAGAGGCGTTGAAAGACTGCTCCAACGGAGCTTATTGTTTCAGAGGAAAACACGAACACAGTGTACAGTCGAGTCTTAACAGCTTACTTACAGCTGGGCTCGTCAGGCACTCTTTTTGGCTGCAGTGGTTATTATTATATTTACATGCTTCCAGCTCCCGTTTCTGCTCAGTGACAGCTCGTACTTTTCCACTCTCCTTTTTCTCCCTCGCTCACAGACACATAACGGGTATGACGGTCCATTCTCCCTGCAGCATGGACTACACTGCCCATGAGGCTACATGCATTAGGGCGATGCCTGTAACACTCTGCCTGTTGCCTTCATATTAAATCATTTTTAAAAATATTTCTTCACATCATTATGAGACGCGAGATTGAGACACAGACATTAGAGCCTTTTAATGCGCGTTTTGTTTGGGTTTCCACCGACGTGGAATGACCAAAATTAGAGAGGGCATAGCCGAACATATGAAACGGGAAAAGACCGCCGTGTAATCCCTTTATTTCAACAAAGTAACTGTATTCTGAATTCCAACTTTTTGAATGGTAACTGTAACGGAATACAGTTACTCATACAGTGCAACCCCGACTTACGCAATTAATTCGTTCCCAAGGGTCTTTCGTAAGTCAAAAAGTTTCGTAAGTCGAAAGGTTTCGTAAGTTGAAGCACCCATCGCGCCGTTTGAGCGAGGCGATGCTGAACGATAGGCTATAGGCTAATTACTAACTAGAACAACAATACATCGTTCAAGTGGAACAGCGAAGCACAATTACGAAAGCCAAGGGGTTGTCACATGATTCGGAAGGCATTGTGGGCATTGTAGGCTCAGCCAATCAGAGCCAGCAGATTTCGTAACACGGGCAGAAATATTGCTGTTCAGCGCCTTCGTAACTTGAATTTTTCGTTAAATGGGGTATTCGTAAGTCGGGGTTCCACTGTATTTTGTATTTTAAATACTTAACGGCGGTACATGTATTACGTTACTCCCCAACACTTCATACATACACAACACTTCATAAGCTTAACGAGAATCTTTGATGAGCACCAAGCTCATAATTGTCATAACTTAGAAGTAGGTTTGTAGGAGACACACACAGGTACGCGCACATATAGGCACTCACATGCTCACACATACATACACAAACACAGTGTTTTGGGTTTACAACACACCATGTGGGTTTTACGATGGGCTCACTTCTATAAAACTGTTGTAACAAACAAAGAAGTGGAGATCTGCAGAGGGACACCGGCCCTGTACATCTCCCCTTCTGGAAGCTGCATGTGTAACTGAAGATGAATACATCATACGGTTGACGACATCGCTAATTCTTTGCTGTCCATGTGTTCTTCTATTCTTGATACTGTAGCACCTATCAAAATGAAATCCTCTAGAACTCATTCCCAACATATGTAGATGCTGCCGAGCTGAGAGGAAATGGAAAAAAGATAATCTCCGGGTATCTTTTGATACTTTGGTTTCTAGCCGCCTGGAGTTTCAAATGCTGCTAAACGTGCTAAAGCGGCCTTTTTCTCTGATATTATTGTGACCAATGGCCATAACCCTCGATTGCTATTTAAAATCTTTAATTCAGTGGTTAATCCCTGCCCAGCTATTACAGAAGCTATTGGGGTGTTTAGCTGCAGACGGGAGGCCGTATTCTGTTGTGCAAAACAAGGTGAACCAGTCAACGCATTAGTTGACGCATTGACGCCGTGCAGCCCCACGCACGGGGCAATCCGCGGTAACTAGTTAACGGAGATTTTCCACGTTAATGCAGTTATGGCATTAACGTCATTTTAACGAGATTTACGCGGACAGTACCAGTTTAAACTACGATGAACGTGCTTGAGCCACGCTATGATATCCCATCGCATGTCCCAGGCATCTTCTGTTGTCCTAACGACAAATGGGTGGACCTCCAGGGCAACGGAAAGCTACGTGACCGTGATTGTTCATTATATCACAGCGGAGTGGTAGATGGAAAGCCCTGTACTGCCCTATATTGCATCTTAATTTGTTTTTATATAATTGCGTGGAATGAGTCTTGAGATGAATGTTTTTTAATAGGCAAAAAATACTTAAATAAGTAAACGGCGAGTTAAATTTTTGTCTTCTTCCTTTTTTTCTGCTGATCCGAAAATTGATCCGATCTGTGACGAAAAAAACATGATCCGATCCAAACCGTGAGACTTTTGATCCGTTGCACCACTAATGACGACATTGCTCCTTCATTGCACTGCTTCCTCGAGTGCATGAGAGAAGTCAGAGAATGGCTTTCAGACAATTCCCTTATCCTGAATGAAAAGAAAACAGGGATTGTGGTGCTTGGCATCCATATCCCTAGGGGCCTATCAGCTGATACCTTTGGTTCCTTTGCCACGTCTTTCTCTGACTCAGTTAGTGACCTAGGTTTCCTGCTGGATAGCTCTTTTAAATTTAACAAACAAGTGTCTTCAGTAATCAAATCTAGCTTTTACCAACTGCACCTTATTGCTAAGGCTAAGCACTATGTCCGCCATAAAGATCTTGAAAAGCTCATTCATGCTTTTGTGACTTCTAGAATTGGATTACTGTAATTCCCTCTACTTTGGTCTTCACTCCGCTCTCCTTCATAGACTTCAGCCTGTCCAGTATGCTGCAGCTTGCCTTGTGACTTGCACCAAAAAGCATGCCTCTATCATCCCCGTTCTTATTGATTTGCATTGTTTACCCATAAAATATTGTATTTAATTTAAAATATTCTTGCTCACCTTTAAAATTATAAATGATTTAGCCCCTTGTTATCTTGTCGATCTCCTTATGCTATATGTCCCTGGGCGAGCTGTTAGGTCTTCAGCACAATTACTCTTGGCTCAGCCTAGATCTAGGGGTGACCGTGCTTTTGCCCTGGTTGCACCGAATCTGTGGAACAACCTTCCTATCGCTACCCGTGCGTCAGACTCCATTTTATCTTTTAAATGTGTTGTCTCTGGAGGCCTGAGGAATAAAAAGAACTGGGGTGAAACTGCTTTACCTGACACAGTTAATTTGTTTCCCAACATTTCTTCTTTTCCTCCCTTAATTCTTTTTCTTTCTCTCAGGATAAGGGAATAAAGTGTGTGGTGGTGGGTGACGGTGGAGTGGGAAAGACCTGCATGCTCATCACATACGTAACCAAAGAGTTTCCCTCTGAGTACATCCCCACAGTGAGTAGTGTGCTAATAAATTCCAGTTTTATCAGTTTATTCAGTCCATGTCAACAACCTGCAATGTTTCTCAAGATCTTATTTTATTTTTTGAATAATTGTTTGTTTTTTTAATCCTCTCCTGTGTGACAGCTTTGCAATCAAAATTATGATCTGAATGTTCTGTTGTGCAAACAAATTTTGCTTTTCCAAGATTGGCTCTATAAATTATTCATAGGCTTCTTTTGTTCAGGTGTTTATTTTATCTGTTTACTTATTCATTACAATTCCTGTTATTTCAGTTATTACATTATATGTGTTACAGTTTGAGAATGTGTAAGGCAGGACAGGCAGGAAAAAGGGAAGAGGGGTGACAATAGGTGAAAATATAATAAAAGAACAAAAGAAATGCGCACTGTATCACCAACTGTAAGAAAAGACAAACACACAGCGCCTGAAATGAAAGCGTGTGTGTGTGTGTGTGTGTGTGTGTGTGAGTGAGGAGAGAGAGAGAGACAGAGTGAGAGACAGTGCCTGTGTCTTTGTCATGAAATGTACTTGAAAACGGAGGTGGGAATCCACAATAACGGCCCCCAGGAGCCAGAGGCAGACAGAGATATCCACACAGCCCAGACCTGAGGCACTGATCTTATTAACCAACCCTCGTCCTCCTTGCCCTCTGTCTCCCCCAGGTGTTTGATAACTACTTTGCTACAGTGACGAATGGTGAGAAGTACAATCTGGAACTCTGGGACACTTCAGGTAAAAAAACAAAACAAATCTACATTCCGTTTAATAAATACTAAAAATTTCAGTTAAGTAATATTTATATTAGTAACAGCAGCAGCAGGAGATCAAACCTTTAGGGGCAATTATAATGTCATTCACAAAATGTATTTCAATGAACACATTTGTATAAGATAAAGGTCTGTAAATTTCTCTTACTTCACTCGCATTTTGCAGAATGTATATTTGTTAATAATTTTGAGTTGAATTACTGTGAATACAGATAAGTGTAGGATGGGTAATTTAATTTTGCTTTAAAATCTTCTTTTAGTGTAATGTTTATTGCTAAACTGTATTTTCCCACTTATTTAATTTTTATGTACTGTTTTTTAATACACAGTCGTGCAGTGTGGGTTGTTGGACTTCTGCACTGTAGAGAGGCATTAACTAGCTGTGGAGTGAAACACTTTTCATACCGTGTCTGGTGCATTACAGGGACGTTCAGGCTAATTCCTGTGAATTCAGGATTGTGTGTGAAAATAAATGTTTGTATGTTTTTGTTTTCTACTACAAGCAGACTTTGAGGATAATTTCAACTGTAAAAGGGCACGTGTACAGCTAGTGTTTTCCATGCTAACAACATTAATAAAACAAGAATTGTTAATAAATTACTTTTAGTATTACTTTAGTAATACTCATACTTTTAGTTTTGAAGAGAGGTGAGAAGTAAAGAAGTCTGAATACTTCATTAGTGCACTTAATTACATTTTTTTGTAGTTTACCGCGGTATGTATTTTTCTGACAGGTTCAAGACATTTGAGCGAAGTGTTTATTTCACATCATTACATGCCTTCAATCATCAAACTGATGTAAGCCATCATTGAGGGAACAATAAGACATAAAAGACAACCCTGTTGGTGTTTCCATCACTGGGGCTTTTTCCAAAAAAGAGATGAAAGAATATAAACGGGGAGGAATAATCTGGAACAGCCTTTTTGCCGAGACTACTCCAGGTTTTATTAAACATTTGATGACACTCTCTACTGTAAATGACGAGATACCACAGTTTTCACATTAAAGAACACTGTTCCGGTGACGTCACCATCCCGAATGGCAGGCTAAAGCAATAGCTCCCTCGCGAAAATAGTTATTTCGTCCCTTCAGAACATCAAATACTAGACCTACAAATAATACTCGAATAGATGAGAGGGGCAAGAATGGGGAAGACGCGTGCAAACAAAGAAACCACCGCAGCAGAAACTGCAGATGCAGAAAATTTGAGGAGCAGCTCTCTTACGAAGGGACAAGAAGGCGAAGCTAATGCTAACCCAGCTCTCTCAAGTGCCGACGTAAGTTTGACAAAAATCCTGGAGGAGATTCGGGACTTCCGAAAAGACATAAAAGAACAATTAACTGATATTAAATCAGAGATTACCAGCGTTAATCAAAAAATAACAGAGGCAGAGGTACGAATTGAAAAAGTGGAAGACCGTGTTCAAAACTTGGAACAGACTCTGAATAAGATGATAAAAGTCATGCATCAACAAGAAAATAAGCTACTTGACTATGAAGGAAGATCCCGACGAAAAAATTTAAGGATCTATAATTAGTGATGTGTCCTGTGTGTCGAAGCTTCGAATCGTGCGTCGGGTAATCGCGGGGGCGTTTTTCTGAAGCGCGTATCGAGGCTTGCTTTGATTACGTAGGCAGTGACGTTCGAGGCCTCGCGGGCAGTCCGTACCACGTGACTGATTCAGGGACTGGTTCACCGGTTCGCGCCAGATTCGAAATAACATGGGCAGGAAAACAGCTGATTCCCCATCACACCGTGTTGTGGAATTGGATTACGTACGTGCTACATAGTTACTTGTGCATTTCTTCTTCGATGGAACCAGCAAGGAAGAGATGTTTTTTTTTTTTTTTAAATTTTGTCTCTCCTAATAAAGTATGCACACAGTAATAAATATCACAAATGATAAACACCAAAATATAAATAAACAACACTACACATCCTATAATCTGATTTCTGTCTTTTAGTTTATTAAAAAGTGAAGCACCAAACACTAGTTTGTGTCATTATCCAGATGTACATAAGGTTTACACATCATTATAATCAAAGAGCCCGCTTCACTTGAATTGTCCACTTGATGGCGCAGTAGAGCAAATGAATCATCACAATGCTTCGAACCATGAGTCGACCAATTGGATGGAAAGCTTCAGTTCATCATGAGGCTTCATCTCACCATCACTATCTATAATGTCCCGGAAGGAGCCGAGGGCTCGTCTATGGTGCACTTTGTGGAAAAACTACTGCGGGACACTCTGGAGATAAACCCTAACGAGGAGTTTGGCATCGAGAGAGCACATCGGGCGCTGGCTCTAAGACCCGCCGGAGACAGGCAAGATAAAACGCGATCAATAATAGTCAAATTTCTCCGCTATAGGGTTAAAGAAGAGATCCTATGTAGAGCTTGGGAAAAGAAGAAAGTTTTTCTGAATGGGAAATTGATATTCTTTGACCATGACTACCCTCCAGTAGTACTGCAGAAGAGAAAGGAGTACGTAGAGGCGAAGCGGGTGTTAAAGCAGAAAAACATCCGCTTCCATACTCCGTTCCCGGCAAAACTACGAGTGTTTTATGAGGATGGAATAGTTCTGTATCAGACGGCGGAGGAGGCGACTACAGACATGAAGGACAGAGGACTTCCAGTTAATGTGACTACACCGAAGGAGAGTCTGGTCGAGCAGCTGTCCCGTACCGCCTGGGAAACCACGAGAGGTCCAACTCAGCGAGGGACAGACGACGAGCGAGAGAAAGATATCAGGGCGAGACTGCGAACCTTCAGAAGACAGATCATGCCCTCGCCAGAGGAGCTATAAGTACTGTCGGACGTTAAAATGAGGTAAAAATACGTGGTGTTAAATATATTTCAAGATGTTTTGTGAGAATATCTTTACCCCAATTGGATGAGACTACACAGATATAAGCGAGAGACACATAAGGACACACTTTTTGTGAAATGAACAACGACTTTGTTTTCTGCCGCCTCAAGTGCCATGATGGGGGCCCTCAGCCCATATATGGGAGAGGCTTTCCTCCACAGCTAGACGTTTTCTCTAGCTCTACACAGGGTCATTTCTTAGAGACCCCAGCCTTGGAATCACAGTTTTTTGTTTGTTTTTTTTCTCTGTATTTGATGTTTATGTTTGATATGTTTGTCTGTTTAGGGAGTAGATCTGATAAGTTTAATTTTACTTGCTTTATGGACATACGCTGATTACATATGGCTAGTGATAAAGTAAAATTTATATCTTTCAATGTTAATGGGCTGTTAAATCCAATTAAACGTACTAAAATCCTAACTAAAGTGAAAGCAGAACAAGCCCATATAGTCTACTTACAGGAGACCCACATGACAGATAAGGAGCACGTAAAATTAAAGAGAATGGGTTTTACTAATCTGTTTTTTTCTTCATACAAATCAGGACATAGGAGAGGAGTTGCAATCCTTATTTCAAGCAAATTAAACTTTGAAAAAGTATCTGAAATGGGTGATAAAGAGGGCAGATTTATTCTAGTAAAAGGGAAAATAGATGGGAATTTGATCACCCTCTTAAATGTTTATGCCCCACCAAAGAGTGATATTAGCTTCTTCCAAAGGATTATTAATATTATGGTAACAGAAACAGAAGGCCTTTTGATCTGTGGAGGGGATTTAAATATACACCTGCAGCCAAAATTAGACTCGTCTAGCAAGAAAACATACGATATGAAATCTCCATATATCAAAGTGAATGCACTTTTTGAGGAGGTAGGATTAATGGACATATGGCGAGACCTTTTTCCTAATAGAAAGGACTATACTTACTACTCTGCCCCACACTCTCTTTATACAAGGATAGATTATTTTATAACATTTGGTAAAGATAAGGATAAAATATATACTTGTGGAATTGGAACGATAGATATAAGTGACCATGCACCAATATATTTATCCATTGATTTTAACTTACGGTTAAAAAATAATACATGGAAATTGAACTCAAGTCTATTGAATGATTCACCTTTCAAGGCACAAATTAAATCAGAAATTAGTCTCTTTTTAGAGTTCAATGATACCGGAGAAGTACCACCTCCCATACTATGGGATACTCTGAAGGCGGTACTAAGAGGGAAAATTATAGCAATAGCTTCATTTAGGAAAAAAGATAAGAATAGAAAATTAGAAGAGTTGAGTAAGAAACTAAAGGAATTAGAAAGAAGACATAAAAGGGACTTAACACAGGATATATTAAGGGACATCAAAAACATTAGGAACGAAATTAACAATATAGCCACACAAGAAATCAAGAAAGATTTAATGTTTTTGAAACAGAGACAATATGAAAGTGGCATTAAATCTACCAAAATATTGGCGTGGAAATTGAAAAAAAAGATAGCGGAAAATACAATTTATAAAATTAGGGACCCAAGTACAAAAGTGATAAAAAATAAATTAAATGAAATACAGGAAGCCTTTGAAAGATTTTATAAAACCCTATACTCTGAAGCCCCGGGCGGGACTGAAGCTCAGATGGGTAGCTTTCTGAACTCTCTAGACTTACCCACTCTAGATGAAGAACAAAATCAAGCAATGACAATGAATATAACTGAGGAAGAATTAAAAGCTGCAATTAATAGGCTTAAATTAAGTAAATCACCAGGACCAGATGGTTACACGGCAGAGTGGTATAAAGAATTTAAAAAGGAACTGATACCTGTCTTACTGCCTACATTGAATTGGGTTTTGAAAAAGGCACAAATGCCCCCCAGTTGGAAGGAGGCAATTATTTCAGTTATACCAAAAGAAGGCAAAGATAAAATGGAATGTGGATCTTTCAGGCCAATCTCTGTTCTTAACGTGGACTATAAACTTTTCACATCTATCATGGCCAAACGGCTAGAAGAGTTCCTACCAACACTGATATGTAATGATCAAACAGGTTTCATACATCAACGCCAAACACAGGACAATATACGAAAGACACTACACATTATGGACCATATACAAAAACACAAAATCAAAGCAATTGTGATGAGTGTAGACGCTGAAAAAGCCTTTGACTCTGTCAATTGGAAGTTCCTCTACAGGGTACTATATAAATTTGGCTTTCATGATATGATTATTAAAACGATACAAGCATTATATGATAATCCTACAGCCAGGATCAAAATTAATGGATGCCTATCCAACAGTTTTACCCTAAAAAGGGGCACTAGACAGGGCTGTGCATGGTCACCATTACTTTTTGCACTATACTTGGAACCACTAGCTCAATCCATCAGGCAAAATAAGGACATTAAGGGAATTTTTATCAAAGGGACACAATATAAACTGGCTTGCTACGCGGATGACATTTTGATTTACCTTGGACACCCAACATATTCTTTACCCAAGCTGATGCAGTCATTTGAACAATACGGCCAATTATCAGGCTATAAAATTAATATAGGTAAAACCCAGCTACTCTCATATAACTACAGCCCACCAGAAGAAATAAAATGTAGCTACTCTCTGGTATGGCAAACGGAGTGTTTTAAATATTTAGGCATAAATTTACCGAAAGACCTTACAAAACTATTCGAACAGAACTACCTACCCTTATACAAAAAAATAAAGGAAGATATAGTAAGATGGAATTTAATTCCTTTCTTTAGTTTTAATTCAAGAATTGATTCTATTAAAATGAATGTATTGCCAAGATTTTTGTATCTATTTCAAACCCTACCAATAGAGATTAACCAAAGTCAATTTAATGAGTGGGATAAAATGTTATCTAGATATATATGGCAAGGTAAAAGACCAAGGGTTCGCCTTAAAACACTACAGCTGGCTAAGCAAAAGGGAGGATGGGGCCTCCCTGACCTCAGATATGACCTCAGACATTTTGCAGCGCAGATGAGAGCAATAATATGCTGGTGTAACCAATCATACACTGCCCAATGGAAAACCATTGAGGAACAAATGCTGTCTATACCTATTCAGGCAACTCTAGCTGACAATAACTTACAAACCTATATAAAAAATACTGATAACATGTGGGTGAAAAGGACCCTTAAAACATGGAGAACTATTATAAAGGAATATAAACTCGAGACCAATATTACAGTTCTTAAATGGTGTGCTTACGACTCAGAGTTCAAACCTAATGAACTGGATTCTAGATTCAAGGACTGGACAGGTAAGGGCATAACAGCCCTGTGCAGTATAATGAAGGATGGAAAATTGTTCATGCTTAGAAAAACATTTTCATTAGAAAAAGAAGACTTCTATCGATATCTGCAGTTAAGGCACTATGCCGACACGAAGATGAGAAACGTAACAATGATAAACACACGCTTGATGGAACTGTTTATAAAAAGCTATAACTCAGAAACTATTGATAGAATTGTATCATGTCTCTATAAGGGTCTAATGGATTTGAAACCACATTCGACTTCATATATTAGAACAAAATGGGAGAAGGAAGGAGGGATAAAAATATTAGAGGACGAATGGACGGCAATATGGAGATATCAGTGGATGTGTACCAGCTCACAAAAGTGGAGGGAATTTGGCTGGAAGTGCCTAATTAGATACTTTATAACACCTTCTCAGAAGTCTCATTATGATGATAACCCCCCTGCTTGTTGGAGGAACTGTGGAAATCAAAGTGCAAATCATTACCATATTTTCTGGGACTGCTCAATCTTGAGGGATTATTGGAGAGAAATACATAATGCCTTACAGGATATCTTTAAACGTGAAATATCTCTCGAGAGTAAGACTATGTTCTTTGGATATATACCTCAGGAATGGCCTAAATATGATCAACATTTAATAAATATTTTATTGGTGGCCTGTAAAAAGAATATCACCAGAAAATGGTTATCCCCAGAGAGCCCAAACATAAGTACATGGATGGAAATCACAATGGAAATTTATAACATGGAAAAGATAACAGCTTCTGTTAACCACAAGCTGGAGAAATTTACATCATATTGGGAAAACTGGGTTAAATATATCACGCCTCATAGGCCAGATTTTACTATTACAAACCAATAATTATGATGTATGTATATATATTTATAGGATCACCCCATACCAACACATCCGTGTTTTTTTTTGTTTTTTTTTGTTTTTTTGTTTTTTCTCTTTTCTTAGGTTTGTTAGTTTTGTTTTTTGTTTTTTGATTTTCGGATTATGTGATGGTTTCAATTACTTCTATCGTTGTAAGTATTCTTCCCTTATGACTTGGATGTAAATTAAAATACTATTTCAGTATTTAAGGCAGATAACCTAAGTATGAAGAATGCTTACATGATGTACATACTGTGAATGCCTGCTTTTGAAACCTTAATAAAAATATGAATTAAAAAAAAAAAAAAAGAACACTGTTCTGAAATTGTTCCACAATTTTCAGATTGATGAACATTCTGAGAAACTGTGTCTATTAAATGTGCCTTTTATATTTTTAAATCCTGTTACTGATCTGTTGCAAATTAACCCAATCAGTTGGAAATATTGCTCCAGCTGTTTCTTTTCAAAAAATGTAATTTTCCAGCCTTTTGTTGCACCATGCTAACTTAAAAAAAATTATTTTCCATTAATCACTTAAATGTTTCAGATAATAGCATTAATCTAACTTTTAATCATGCTTTTTGTGTCTCACCCTTCAGGTCAGGAGGACTATGACAGATTGCGACCCCTCAGCTACCCACAGACCGACGTTTTCCTCGTCTGTTTCTCCGTGGTTTCACCCAAATCTTTTCAAGAGGTCACAAACAAGGTTTGTCTACTTGGTGTATGCATTTTTTTTCTAATAAGATCTACATTTATGCCTTTTACTTTCTTTTTACTTTCAGAATAAATAAGTACTTGGTACTTAAAAGTAATTTAGATTAAAATAATAATATATAAATTAATTATTAATCTATGTGACCTTGTCTTTGTCTTCACAGTGGTTGCCAGAGATTGCGTACCACCGTCCGGGGACCCCCTTCCTGCTGGTCGGGACTAAGGTGGATCTGAGAGATGACAGATACACCCTGGAGATGCTGGGCAAGAAATACGAGCAAGTTGTGACCTTCAAGGACGGCGAGGAAGTGGCTCGTCACCTGAAAGCTGTCAAATACATGGAGTGCTCAGCTCTTACACAGGTACAAGAAAAGTCTGCTGATGTGTGTTTTTTAACTACTAAATGGATCAGTGTCTAGATATTGCAGGTTTTTAGGGTTTCTGAAGTAAGACTGATATTTCCAGGTGCTGGTCATGGTTTCACTATTGCAGATCTGTTTCTAAAAATGTGAATTAAAGGCAAATGTCATCTGAAAAACACAAGAATCATACTCTAGAAAAGTTGCAACCACCATAGCATTACTAAATGCCTTCTCCTAGACAACAAAACATTTAGGCAGGTTTTGCACACTCGCATGCACCCTTAATAAAGAAGATTTATTAAGCTGGTTCACTGCTCCACAACCACAACGCAAAGCATATTGTTCAACATGAATTTGAGTTTCAACCTATAGATTGACTCTCCTCTCTAGTGCCAGGCATAGACCGTCACGCAGTAAGTGTGATCCCCTACCTAAGAGCACACCCACTTCTTATAAAACAGATCCACGACCCCGGTTTGTTAAGGGACACAAACTTTTCCACATAATGTTGCAAAGTTGGGTCAACCAAAACAGCCTTTGAGGTCAAATAGTACCTCTCAGCTACCTCTGAAGTCCCGCATGCTACACGTGCTCAAAAGGACTCCCTTTTCCTCCACTGTCATCCATCTGATTTAGGGGTTACAGAAAATTTGCAATTGCCTTGTTCTTTATTTGATTCTCATTATACTCGCTGTTCCATCTCAAACTAAATACATATTTTTTCTTATGTGTTGTTTTTATTGGTGTTTCTTTTAGGTTTTTCTTCTTCTTCTTGGTAGCTTTGAGTTTCCCTTTCTGTCTTGTTCTCAGATAGGAGTGCAGGATGTGTTTGAAGAGGCCGTCCTCGCTGCTCTGGGGAAGTCAAGTTCCAAACCCAAGAAGTGCTGCACTCATCTATAGATGTCACAAGAAGTAGAACAAGAGGAGGAAAATGACCTTATCCTCCTCCTCTTGGAGAAGTTGGAGGTTTGACCTGGAAGAGAGTAGTAGCCTCGATGTGAACAAAGGAAGGATGCTTAACACTAGTTAGACCAAAAACAATATAAATATCTCTTTATTTAGCAAGCAGAGCTGAAAATGCTCTAAAAATAAAAATACAAAAGTATATTGGACAAATATAAATAATTTATGCAGATTTATTATTAATGAGTGCAGGCAAGTCTTTATATACAGTAGTTTAGGTTTTTCTGAACTTATGTTTACATTGTAATTTTTATGCAGTATTAATTAGTGTCATTCACTCGCTCATTTTTTTAATGGACACAAACTTCTATCAACTAATATCATTCTCAGCCTCTACAGCTTTGCATTGACCTGTTCATATGCAGCTTGTGTTTAAGGTACAACCATGTGAGCAGGAAACTGCACGCAGGAAACCATCTATTCCTTAGTAGGTTTTAAAATGATTTAATTACAACCGTAGATGAACAACAACACATGACATATTATTTATTTAACAAAGCTGTCACACGAAGAAGCAGTGTGTGATTTGGGATCATTTGGGCTGTAAAGTGGATCGGGGGGCGCTGATGCACTTTACTTTTGCTTCCTTTGGTGCAAATGAAAGTGACACGAGGTTCACTGGAGAGGGAACAGGAAAATAGGAAAAGGGGAAAAAAGAGACTGGTTTTACAGATAGTAACCAAAAACCATTGCTCTGTCCTTACATCTGATCTTTTTCTCCAGTTCAACTTTTTGTTTATGTCCTTGTCACTGCTGGTAGCATGAGATGGTGCTTCCAACACATTCAGGTTGGAGAGGTAGAACAACTTCTCCAGAATGGCATATCGATGCAAGCTGACCTCTAGGTGCTCTCTATGCCCTTTGGTGTTTCTGAAACGCTTCACAAGCAGAGACTAATGAGGTGGGTTTTGCTTGCTCAAGAATACAATTTGGACATTTACGAGTAAAGGTGTGTCTTTACAATGGTGGAAGCAGGTAGGGGTTCTCTGCCTTTTTTCTTTCAGCCATTTTCTCCTGTTTTGTGGATGGATAGGGAGCTCAGCCATTGTGCTTTGTTATCTTACAGACAGAGTCGTCTTAAAGTTGTGTGTTGACCTTGGAGACACTGACGCTTAGAGCTTCCCTGTGTTTTATTTTGGTCCTAATTGGTTTGTTTGCATTTATTGGAAAATAAATGGTATTTTACTCATGTTAACTATGTGGTGATTAATTTTGGGGGGTTTCACTTTGTGTTACACCCCACTCCAGATAATACTTTGCTTTAAGTGGGTTGTAACAATAAGGACGCCTGATCAGGACACTGGAGTGTAGTGAGTATAACAGGAGGAACACTGACAGAGGCCTAAGGAATGGCCTCCGGGGTGCTCATTTGCATGTTTCTGGCCGCACACTATGAGAAACAGACTCCATCTGCTGGAATAAGGGTCCGACATCCTTTAGTGGGACCTGTGCTCATCCAGCATGACGGTTTGGCAGTGGTCAGCGATGGTCTGGGAGGCATATCCTTGGAGGATCATACAGATGACCTCCTCAGAACCATTGTGGATACGGGCATTGATACCATTGACTGTCTCTGACATTTTCCAGAGCTGAATCCAACTAAGAACTTCTGGGACACATTTTTTTACTCGCATGCCTGCAAAGTCTCCACCAAGCCTCTCTCATTTTCTCTGAATTGCTGCCTACCTGTCCACATGCCCTGTCTTTTGATTATACCTCCTTTAATAAAGCATCTAAACTATTTGTTAGTTGTTTGCTTTGCATTCATACTGAAAAGATGACAAGAGCATTATGTCAGTAAAGATTTAAAGTTTGAATATTTCAGTTATCAAGATCAAATGTGTGCATTTCCTTGACTTCTTGAGATTTTTTTTCAGCATTGAAAATACTTTTACTTTCATACTGTTGATTAATCTTTCTTCATTTTTAGTTAAATTATAATTATCAGTGTAGAATATGCACATCTAAAAGGTAACTTGGCTTGAGTATGTTGGTGCAGCGTGTCGCTATCTGAATACAAAGCACCATGTTGTTTATGACTGGCTGCATCACTTGTGCATCTTTGTGGCCACAGTTTCATGGATAAGTACAATTTTATGCTCCTGTAAATGATGAGCTCTTTGCTTTGCTGGCTCTTGATGAGTGTGCAAAGTAATTCAGTTATTATTACCACCAATATAGTTTTTAAATTAAATTTCATCATTAACTGAGTTGTAATAAAACTGTCTACAGAGTTGATGTGGAGAATAATGTTTAACACAAGCATGTTGTAACGTCCCTCTGTTAAAATAAAATAAAAAAATTACACTAGCAGTTTGCAGTCCCACACTAACCCACACACAAAGGTTTCTAAACTCCACCTTGATTACACATTACTGGAAGGGCAGTTAATCTCTAACTTTTTGGTTATCTTTTAACCAGGCAATAAAGACTTGCATTGTACTGACACTTTGACACTTAGCATTGTTTTATTTACATTTTTTTTTTTTTTGCAAAGTATGATTAAACTCTAATAAACAGACAAAGAGGCAGTGGAGCTCTGTAGACCTGAAACTTGACTTTTGCACTTCTCAAGTAAGTGTTGATGATTTAATATCTTACTATGCCTTTATAAAGAAACATTTATTTTAGAACGCACTGTTAACATCATGTTTACATTTTCTATTAAAAGCTTTCATGTTAAACTTTACTTTGAAATCCTGTTTGAATTGCACATTTTTCAAATAAAATAATACATTTTACTTGAAAGCGCCTTTTGAAAACACTCAAGGACACTGTACACAGCAGAATAATAAAAGCAACATAAAAGCAATCAGTTTACACAATCATAAAGGCATAAGACATAAAACAAATGTAAAATAGCAGAGTGGAGAAGATATTTGGGATAAGCTATTTTGTACAATTGATGTTTGAGTTAAGACTTAAAGAGAGAGAAGGAAGTTATATTTCTTAAATCAGGAGGTCGGGAACTCCAAAGTCAAGGAGCAGAGCAGCTGAATGCCCAGCTCCCCATGGCGGCAAGATGGGGGGAGGAGACAGAGAGAGAAAGAGAAGAAAATATCTGAGACTGAGATGGGATGGTGATCTGAACCAGATCAGACAGATGTGGCGGGGAGAGAACATGAATTACCTTAAATGTGTACAAGAGTGTTTTAAAAATGATGCGATATTTGACTGGAAGCCTATGAAGTTGCTGCAGGACAGGAGTGATGTGATGGACAGAAGGGGTCCTGGTGATAATACGAGCAGCAGAGTTCTGGACGTATTGGAGCTCGTGGATGGATTTCTGAGTAAGACCAAAAAGAAGAGAGTTGCAGTAACCAAACCCGTCGAAGTAACAAGAATGGCAGCGGCATGTGGGGTGAGAAAAGGACGGAGACGATTAATGTTGGCAACTGAAAGTATGCAGACCGAGTAACATTGTTAATGTGTGAATTGAAAGATAAAGTACTGTCGAGGATGACACCCAAACTTTTCACAGAGGAAGAAACGAAGACCGGCGAGTTTTTGATAGTAACAGAGAAACTGTTGGTTCTGAATAATGTTGATTTAGAGTCGACCAAGAGGAGCTCGGATTTGTTACTATTGAGTTTGAGAAAATTAGAAGAGAACCATGAATTTAGTTCGGCTAAGCAGAGGGTGAGGAAGGATGGGGGAGAGCAGAGTCAGGTTTAGTGGACAGATAAAGCTGGGTGTCATCAGCATAACATTGAAAATGGATATTATATTTATGAAAAATGTGTCCAAGTGGAAGAAGGTAGATAATGAAAAGAAGGGGCCCCAGGACAGATCCCTGGGGCACGCCAGTGACCAGAGGAAAGGACTGAGAAGTGAAGGATTTGAGTCGAACAAACTGAGTGTGATCAGACAGGTATGATTTAAAGCAAGCTAGTGTGAGTATGGGGGAAACCGATGGAGGCTAGCCTACTGAGGAGAACAGAGTGAGAAATGGTGTCGACAGCAGAACTCAGATCGAGGAGAATAAGAATAGAAAGTAAACCAGAGTCAGCTGCCATAAGAAGGTTAATGTGGATAGTGAGTTTAACTATACACAAATCAGTTACTGTTACTTGTCTTTACAGTTTATTTTGTTCCTAATTTTGCTCCTTTTTTAAAAATTGTTTTTCCTACCTCTCAGATGCAGACTATAAAGCTCGTGGTGGTGGGTGATGGTGATTCAGGAAAGCATGAATTCCTCTTGACCTATACAGGCACAGCCTACAAGTAAGAATACATACCCACAGTGAGTAGGTTTAAATACCACAGATAAAATAAAAAATAAAAAAACATTTTTCTCTGCAGGAAACTCGTGGCATGAAAGTCTGCAGACATAAACCAGACAGATTTCAGGTTGCCCTGAACTGCTCTTTTGTGTCACACAGGTTGTGATACTTACAGACCAGTGACTGAACTCTACAGGACACTAAAGACAGACAGTACAAACGGACATACATGCAAAACCAATCGAAGTGGGTTGTGTATTGTGTTCTCACACAATACAGGTCATGGTCAAGGTCAAGGTTCTTTATTTGTCACATGCATAGTTATACAAGTATAACACACAGTGAAATGTAGCCTGACACGCTCCTCGACATGTGCAAAAAAATTGGGGGGGGGGGAGATTAACTGCCCTTCCAGTAATGTGTAATCAAGGTGGAGTTTAGAAACCTTTGTGTGTGGGTTTCATATCCTTTTAATTCAAGTTCAGTTTGAGGTTGAAGGAGCACTCAAAAACAGCTTTAATGCTAACTCAAAAAGTAGCAAAACTGAAAATTCAAAATAAACATGCAATACAGAGTCCAAAAATGGCTGCGCAGAAGGCAGCGGTGGCGACGCAGTACAGGAGGCCGTCCATGACAGCGATGATGTCCAGCCAGTGTGGCCCCTAAAGTAGCCGGCGACGTTGAGTTGGCGGCCGTAAAAGAGCCAGGTGTACTGGACATGGATGTGCCATCCGAGCATGTTGTGGACCAAATGAGGCAGGACCACACAGCGTGGAAGCTGCAGTTGGAGACTCAGGAGGTGGCTTAGCGGACTCAGAGCGGTCAGCGGACACAAGGTGCTGAAATCCTTCCTTGGACCCTTCAGCGATAATGGACGGCTGAAGCTGCTCCACAGGCCCCTCAGCGAAGACAGAGGACGGCTGAAGCGATCCCTTGAACAGGAGATGGCTGAGCGATCCCTCGGACCCTCCAGAGGAGGAAGGCAGCTGAAACTGTTCTCCTGAACTGCAGAGACAGACACAGGGCCAGCAGATGCAGAGACCTCTAGCTGAACAGGCAGCTGAGCAGATGACTGAGCTGGTGACTGAGTTAATAAGTGAGCTAATATTTGACCTATGGATAGAAGTTTAAGATGATGTAGTAATGGTGGATGATAATCAGGTAGCTGAGTGAATTCTCCTGAGCCTCCAGAACATGAGGAAAACGGCTGGACGGGCTCACCTGCTGGGTCCATGTAATGGCCGTGATCTTCTGTCATGTGAAGGCTGTGTGCAAGTAGGACAGGGCCCAAAGTGCAGACACACAGCTGCAGCTTTAATGCTAACTCAAAAAGTAACAAAACTGAAAATGCAAAATAAACTTACGCAATACAGACAGTGAGAACACACAGCAGAGGATGAGGGTAGACTGCAACACAGACCAAAGAAAACACAGGGCTTAATACACAGGAAGCAATCAGGGAATGAGAGACAGGAGGGAAACACAGCTGGGACCAGGAGCGATTCAAGGATCAGAGCTTTGGGGATGCTGAGCACCCAGAGAGCTGCCCAGCCAGGCAACATAACCTTTACTCATCACGATGAGACTTCTTCCCTGTCTCTGTCAGTCCCTGCATCCTTAAATGTCTCCAGTTGTCCCGAGTTCCCTCTGACTGTCTCCTTGGTGCATTTAAACCCCTGTTCCTCCCTGTCCTCATCGTCTGTTATCTTCGTCTCCGTTATCAGTCGTCATAAATTTACCCTCTCTGTGCAAGTCTGCAAATTTCTTTATTAAATCATAAGATTCTTAAATGCATCAAGTCTCTCTGTGCCTGGGTCCTCATCACTGACATCACTGTCTTGTACATTTTAACACAATTTAATCCCCACATTTGTGAAAGAAAAGCAAAACACTTTTTTGAAAAGTCTGTAACAGAACCATTAAATCTGATAAAGGTTATTTAAATGCTGAATGGATTGGAATAAAAAAAATACATATCCTAACCTTAATTACTGGCAGAGAATAATGAGTGATGCTCATAATGGGTAAAAAGTAAACGGGCACTTGTCTGAGAGAATCGTTTGTATAATAATCAACAAACTAAAATGTGAAATTCTTCTCCTCAGTTCAAAGACTCGTCCAAAAATACACTCAGCTTGCTTTTAAATTCAAATTTGGTCTTGACAAACTCAAAGTTAATTTTGTTTGGTTTCTAACTTCAGAGATATTCGCGCACACACAGAGCTACAGGTCAGTTGTTGCAGTAAAAGCCCATCAAACCTGACCTTGATTTTTCCACAGTGGGTGCCAGAGATTTCACACCACTGCCCGGGGACGCCCTTCCTGTTGGTCGGGACTCAGGTGCATTTAAGAGATGACAGCCACACCCTGGAGAAGCTGGCCCAGAGAAACCAACACGCTGTGACCTTCACGAGTGGAAAGGAACTGACTCGTAAGCTTAAGACTGTTGCACAAAGCCAGCGTACAGCTGGTAAATCCTAGCTGCCTTGATGTGCCCTTTCATTCATTTTTATTGCCCACACTCAATTGTCCAGTCAGATCTCCTAATGCAACCAGCCCCTCGTATACCTTCGCTGAGTGCTCACGCAGCTGAAGGAAAAGGTCAAAAGCTGAAGAAAATGTTAGCTGAATTGAATTTAATCGAATCGAATCGAATTGAATTGAGCAGCACGGTGGTTAGCACTGTTGCTGCACAGCAAGAAGGTCCTGAGTTCAATTCCACCATCAGGCCGGGGTCTTTCTGTGTGGAGTTTGCATGTTCTCCCCGTGTCTGCGTGGGTTCCGTCTGGGTACTCTGGCTTCCTCCCCATATGGAAAAGAAATAGTAAAAACTTATATGTGATTACTCATGAAAGTGGCCACTTTCTCATTACTTTCATACATTGTTTTAGTAAGTACCCAAAACATACAAGTTTCATTATATAATTTTTCAAGGGATCTTATATCTGTTTTCATTCTTATATGCTTTTCATACAAATTTCACACAAGACAGATACAAACTTTATAAGATTTATATACATCTTTTCCATATGGGTCCCACCGTCCAAAGACATACAACTTGTGGGGATAGGTTAATTGGATAATCCAAATTGCCACTAGGTGTGAATGTGCGAGTGAATGTGAGTGTGAATGGTTGTCTGTCCCTGTGTGTTGGCCCTGTGACAGACTGGCGACCTGTCCAGGGTGTACCCCGCCTCTCGCCCTATGACAGCTGGGATGGGCTCCAGCGCCCCCCGCGACCCTGAAAAGGATAAGCGGAAGCGAATGGATGGATGGATTTAATTGAATTGAATTGAACAGGCGAACCTAATAAAGTGGCTGCTGAATGTATGTGGTGTGACTTAAGTGAACTGCACAGTAGTTGGTTACGCATTGTCTTTGTCGTTATTATGATTTGAAATAAATCTTTCACACTTCATTTTTGTGTCTGAACACTTTTACTGTACATTAGGCCAATATTTTTGCAGTTTTCTGTCCAAGGTCAGGACGTTTTCAATAAAATTAAAAAAACAACAACATTTTAACCACTTGAGAGCTGAGTTAAGAGTGGTGAGAATGACATTCCTGCTGTGAGATTTGCACAGCGACTGAGGAAGCAGGGCTGCAGATACCATCCACTGGGAGTCACCAGGATGGACAGAATTAGAAATGAGTATAATAGAGGGAGACAAAGTTAGAGAGGCAAGGATGAAATGGTTTGAACATGTCCAGAGGAGGGATAGTGGATATACTGGGCAAAGGATGTTGAAGATAGAGCTGCCAGGCAGGAGATGGTCTTGGTTTCCTTTCTTAAAAGCAAAATTAAAACCTTATGTACACATTTCACAAAAATGAAGAGAAACTTTTATAGATCAAAAGCACTAAAATGTTTATACCTCATGCAATAAGGGAGGAAGGGAACTTGAATGCGTCACACTCCAGCAGGTGTGAACAGGTAGAACATAAGGTGACACTGACTCAAGGTCAGTGTCACCATGGCAAACAAAGAACCTGAGCTCTGTGACAATGATTGTAATTTAACCCAAAACCATAATCTAAATAATATCGATCAGTTTTCACTTCCTGAATGTTTTTTTCTTTTCTTTTCTTTTCTTTTTTTTTTTTTTTTACAAAATTCTTCCTACAAGGTATAAAAGAAAACAGAAAGTAAGTAAGTAAACAAAATGTAGATTAGATTATGCGTTGTTGGTTTGATCCACGTGAGATAAAACTGGAATGAACTGAAATAGTTTCGTTTTTGAAAAGAGTGCAGAACAGGACCGACTGGATGATCAAACAGTAGCACACTCAGAAGATTTCCTCTGAGTCACTATTATTACGGAGAGTATATTCTCGAGGCCAAACAACCTTCAGATCAGTGTTAAAATTCTGATGAAGCGTGACAGCACGAGGACGCTGATGCTGGAATTATACTGAAAAGCTCCTGACTGACCCGGAGAAGATACTGAGGTAGGCCACAGCCCACAAATCTCCTCTGTGAATATATCAGGCAAGCATCTGTTTGTTTTGTATTATTTGAATTCTGCATATTGTATTTTATAACCAGTTACATCTTGTGTAGACTTTTATCTAACACTGTGCAGTCAGTCATCAGTTTTTGACTGACACAAGAAGAGTTAGAGAAGAGAGGGAGACTTAAGTTAACTGGAAACCCAAACTCTTTACAAGCTTGTTTGATCTTTTTTTTCATATGCTTCACAATCATTTTACTTTAAAAGTAAAATGTATTTAAAACTAGCAATAAATTCAATGACCTCTCATTTAATGTCGTGTTTTGTTGTTTTATGTTATTTGTTAGAACAGAAGTAATGCTAACTCCCAAAAGGTTGATTCTGTTCATCTGGACGTAGAAACGTTTCGTCACTCATCCAACTGACTTCTTCGGTCTCAGCTGACTGCAGGTTTCCCCAAACCTTATTAACAGTACATTTACACAGTGACTGAAACTAGCACCACTGAATGACCAATGGTCTGTGAGGTCAGTTCCTTGATCTGATCAATGGCCATGAGTACCATTCACAGAGAATTGCTGCAATCACAGCATTGTAAGATGAAGAAAGATGTAGCCTCCCCATGATGAGGATTTACACATCCTGGACAGGGAGGAACGCTGGTATGAGCAGGGAGTCAAGAAGGCCATTTACACAAATCTCTGAATCGAGGAGGGGGCCTAAGGGTACATTTTTGTTGATTAGAGAATATTAACTCAAATAGGACTAGAGCGTTAAGTCTAGTGATTTAACTTGGGTTACTCACATCTTGAGACTGTTGCAGAAACCCAGAGTACCCAGAGAGCAAATAAGTCAGTGGATAAGATAAGTCAAAGCTAATGTCGATCACAGAGGACATAAATGAAAAGGCTGTTATTCTCGGGAGGATATGACAAACTAATCCTCTGCTTGCTGTTGACACTGTTTCCGTGAATCGCTCAACAGCGACATCTGCTCGGTTTAAAAAGTAATTGCAGGAAACCTGGAGACAGACTGAAGTTCGTTCACTTTGACATGTGGACAGCAAACGAGTGATGAGTAATCCTGTTTAGTTAACCAAGTGATGATAGAGTTCTAACTGGACAAAATAGAATAACACGGAGCAGAACAAAAATAATAGGAATGACTAATACGTGCTTGTAAAAGTGGGAGTTCATGTGTATCTGTGTGTGAGGGGAGAAGACAGGCTTTACGGTTTATTATTAATAAGAAAGAAGACGAATGTCGCATTTTGCGGCCAAGGTGACATCCTACAGATATCGCTGGAATTCATTCATGACGAGTGAAACCCGTAAACACACAAACGGCACTGTTAACGCGCTCCTATCGTCCTCCTAGCTTCAGTCACGTGGTTTTTCTTAAAGCCATACACGCACCGGTGCGAGGTGTGTGTTTGACACATGCACCGATGCTTCGGTATTGTTTGATCCATCACTGTCGAGTCGAGGCGAGTCGCGCCGAGCCGAGTAAGTGCTAGTGGAAAAGAGGTGTTATTTCCTCATATTGTCCTTTTTATTTCTTTAAATTCTGTGTCTTCCTTCTCCTCAGATGAAAGACATTAAATGTGTGGTGGTGGGTGACTATGAAGCAGGAAAGACCTGCCTGCTCAATTCCTACACAACTGACAAGCTTCCCATTGGAGATTTCCCCACGGTGAGTATCCGAAAACAGCACAGAGTCAAGTGGCTTCCATTCACCAGCTGTGAAACGGCTCAAAAGCCAGCTTGTTATTAACTTAAGAGTGTTCTCTGGAATACTCGGTGTTTGGCTCCATGCTGTCACACAGGAAGTGGTAAATGGTTGTAACTATCTAATCTCTGCAGGTAGAAGAGTGAAAGCAAGGCTCTGTGCAGTCATTGTAATGCTGACAAAGGGCTGGACTGGGGATCATTTCTGTTGATTGACGGATATAATACACTTGACAATAACTTAAAGTTACACTTTCGCTATTAGCGATGGCTCATGGTCAGAGTAGCCATTGGTTTTACCTGAAATCTCTCCCTTCCTAATTGTCCCTCCATCTATTTTCTTAACACATGAATTCATCTTCCTCTGTCTCTTCCTCACTTCTCCACAGCTGGTGCCAGCAGCAGCCTCCTGTGACTGTGAGGTCTGTTTTCTAGTTGTTACTGGTAATAAAGTTCATCAGCACCCTGACAGCTAACATTGTCTCTCAGCTTTTCACCACTTCTTCAACACTGAAACTTAAGCGGCGTGAGCGCACAGGTGGGCGAAGGGACAGTGTAGTGCCAAAAAGTGATCGCCTGCCAAAAACTGATTTCCAATGTTTCCGTGTGTTTTTTATGTGTGATATCTTTACGTATGTTGGTAAATAGAGTTTGGTGAACAGAGTTTACAAAGGGGTTATATATACAATTTAAAAATTACCTGTTTTTTAAGTATCTTTATAACTCTGTGTTATTGTACTTACATTATAACCAATTCAGTCCTTTTTGTCCACTTAAAATATGTTTACAGAACTAATATTTGTTGCACTTTCTGCTGTCGTCTTGGCCAGATTACTCTTACAAAAGACATTTTTAATGTCAACAGGATTTTTTTTAACTGCATAAATAAATGATATATAACAATCACTGCCAAAAACTGATCGTGGCTTCTACCTTGTTACAGGAATGTTGTTTGTGGCTCAAGATGACTTGGTATCATTCATGTGGGATATGTTTGACATATGTTTCACATATTATAGACCAACAAGTTATTTATAGCAGTTTAAATACGAGCAATCTTTTTTTGGCAAATACCAGAAATCAGTTTTTGGCAGACAATCACTTTTTGGCACAACACCGCTCGCATTAGATTTGATTGGGCAATCCAGTGTCAGCAATGAAAATGAACGAATGGGCGAATAGGTCAGTCTGTGTTTAGTTTAACTTCCATCAAGGTTCACTGTGTGGTGGACGGCAATGGGACCAAAAGTGAAGGACACTGAAGATATAAAACTCAAAAACCTGTTTTATTATTTATAAGCGCTTACAAAAATGCATCAAAAAGGCAGGTCAGGGGTGCCGGTTTAGATCACTGGGATGAGCAGGTGACCATGTGCTGAGTGGCAGGAAGTGGCCAGCCTGGGTTGGAGTCTGACCCACAGCTCTTCGGTGCATTTATTTCCTTTCTCTTTGTCGCTATTTACTGAAAGGGCCAAAAAGATTTTTATTTTTTATATTTTAAAGCAAAAAATGCTTCTTAGAAAATGCGTGACAATGGAGGGCAAAACAAAGAACAGAAACAAAATGAGGGGTTAAATACACAAGAGGAGATGAGGGCAGAGTGGAGACGACTCGGGCAAAACTGAACATAACGCACATGAGACGAAAGACTATCAAAATAAAACGAGATGTTATCAAACACGGAAACAGAAGAACGCAAAGACAGAAGGGAAATCAACACGGAGAGAAGACTGACATCATACATGAGGCACAAAACACAGAGAAGAAACTAGGACAGACTGGAAGAGAAAGGAAACTGCTGTCATCTGAAGACCATAGAAAACAAAACTGAAAAGCACTAGGAAATAATATAATACTCACAAGCACGAAGCAGAGCTTGAACACAGATCACATCATGAGCACACAAAAACTCAAGACACTGGGTCAAAGATGCAGGACCATGACGACTTCCTCCCAAATCATGATGTTAGTTTCCCTCAGCTGTGTTCCTACTTGTTTCCTCTCCCCTCGTTATCTTGTAAGTATTTTTTGTCTCCCCCTGTCCTTTGTCACGTCCTCATTCATGGTCCTGTGTCTCCCTGCTCTGTGTTTCAGAGTTTTCAGTTTCCCCTTTCCTGCCCTGCTTCTGTGTTGGCCTTTTGTATTCTGTTAAAACAGCAGCATTAAAGCTCTTTTTCCATTAGTACCTATTTGGATCGGCTCGAAGCGGCACAACTCGTTTTCCATTACAGTGGGATACCACCTAATGCACGTGGGGTTATTAAAGCAGCGCGGCCGACAGTCTCACGATGTGATTAGTATGTGACACGAACGCCACAACAAAGGCAGACGTCGAGGCAACGATCTACCTGCCGCACAGTCTGTGGCTTTTTTTCAGACTTGAGAACCACAATGTTGTTTTTTGGTGACATGAAGTCTTCTGACGTCACATTTTCAGGTCGCCTTGGATCGCTCAAAACCCCATGGAGTAGGTATTTAAAAAGTAGCTGGTACCAGGTACTATGACCTACAGGAAAAACCCTGAAAACACAAGTAGGTACTAATGGAAAAGGGACTTAAGAATGATTTTGAGTTCTTTCTTCCTGCCACACAGCCGTACCTGGACAAAAACAAACATGGTGTTCACCTTACGGCTCTTCACCTAAATTGTGCTCAGTGTCAAGGTCACATTCGTTTCCTGGGCAATAACCTGTGAATTGTGATGGGCTGTGACTACATCACTGCCACTCTTAATTGCTTATTGTCTCATTGATTGTATAAATATTAACCTTCTTGTTCCTGCCTATATTTTCCTGTTGTTATTAACTATCTAACAACTCGTTGTCAGTGCTGTAGTTGTATCTTAAACCTTTAAGTCATCAGGCCTTAAGTTGAATAACCAGAGTGTCCTCTCTAATCTCCCAGCTGTGCCCTGCATACTTTCTTTAATCTTTGCTTTGTGTTGAGCTGTTTCATGCCAGTGCTGGCTCTTGTGGTGGTGTTTCCTGTCACTCATCTAACAAATAACCACCGCAGTAAGAAAACAGGTCACCTGTAACATTGTTTTTCCAGAGTATTTCTGACTCTTGTTTCACGCCATAACTAAAACATAGCATACCGTTGAGAATGAGTACATATAAATACATTTAAAAACATGCTCTAGGGTATACGTCTGTTTTCCTCCAGTTCTTTTCGATGCGCCTGCAAGATAACCAAAAATGTGGACGACATATTGAAATGCCCTAAAACTAGAAGTGCTACCATTTGGAAGTCAAAGCCAGAATCACAGTGCTGTACTCTGGTTTCTGTGCTTGTTTTGTTAGTGTTAGCAACCATAATAAGTGAAAATCGTCGCTGCAGACAAACCCGTTTGATCTGCTGGCCGTTATCTTGAAAACAAGATGATCACGATCAAAGGATTGGTCACTGGAATTCATTTCACTGCAAAGCTTTTGTTTTGGTAACACAAAACATCTCTTTAGTTGACAGTGGTGCGTTTTTACCTCTCACTAAAAAATCTAACTCACTCGATGTTCAGTTCAGTTCCCACCAAAACCACTAAAGAGAGCCTTTCAGCCAAGGATGTCAATCTAAAGGAAGCAGCAGTCACAACATTTAGTCTGTGCGTGACCACGGTGTTGGCATGTGACCAATATATGATTTGACTTTATGTCTATTGCTATCATATTTTTATGCCATCGCCTTCTGATGGGTTGCCCTACGCAGACAGAAGTTTTGAGCACAGGCAGAAGGTTTCCTTTTCTTTTTTGCAAATGGTATAGTTTGGGCTGGAGCCAGTGACCTTGAAACCTCCTTCAGTAGATCTGTGATAGATCTCATCATGCACCGAGTTGTCCTTTAGTCAGCTTTTCACCCACTATGTGTTTTTGCACCACTCTGCATTTAACCTCTTAAGCACCCACGCATAACCGTAAATGTGATCTCCTCCCCTTTGCCCCGTATCTGGGGATATGGGTGCTTAAGAGGGTAATCGATAGTTATTATTAATCTCTGCATCCCACTGAGCCTGGTTCCGCCTGAGGTTTCTACCTATTTAAACAGAGTATTTCCTTCCCAGTGTCTCCAAAGCTCTTGCTCATAGGTCATCAGATTTTGTTTTGTTTTCTTTTTTTTTGGGGGGGGGGTTGGTAGTGGGTTCAGTTTTCTCTGTAGTGTTGCAGGGCCTCTTGCAGTATAAAGTGTAGTGATGATGTGATGAAGCCCTGTGAATGTGTCAAATCTTTCTCCTAGAGCAGGGCTGTCCAACTCCAGTCCTCGAGAGCTACCGTCCTGCAGCTTTTAGATGCATCTTTGTTCTGACACACCTGAATCAGATGAATGGCTTGTTATCAGGCCTTTGCCAAACTTGATGGCATGCTGAAGAGGTAATCCAACCGTTTGTTTCATCTGTGTTGGAGTAGGGATGGATCTAAAAGGTGCAGGACAATAGCTCTCGAGGAGTGGGATTGGGCACCCCGTCACACCATTCAACGGCTTATTTGGAAGTACTACTACTCCGCATTTGTTGTACAGCAGCCCTGCCGTGATAATACATTCATTTATTTATTTATTTAGAAAGAGGGACAATACATATTAATGAATATTTTAACAAATAGCCTTGGGCTAATTTCCATCTGCAGACTCTCTGGCAGGTTGGTGTTAAACACAAGTTAATAATAACATACAGAGACAATATTTACAGGTCATGTGACAAGGACAAAAACAGTGATCACATTATACTAGAACAAACAATGACAAGAACTTTGTATATTAGACAGGCAGATTTAAATAATTTGAAATTAGTAAAATTTTGAAACTTGTATTTATCTAAAATTTGACAATGGTGATATGAAAAAGGTTCCTTATCTAATATTTTCAATGATCTTTGTAGCACACTTCGATTGGCCCGATAGCAGCAAAGCTTGTATAGGACCAACTTGTAATACAGTATTCAATATGAGCCGGTATCATAGAGCGCAGGAATGTAATCGCTGCTGTCTGTTAATGATGTGCGGATATGTCTAAAGTTCTGTGTATTAACATTTACAGTTTTCACTACATATGGTCTGCATAACAGTTGATATATAAACGTATTGATGTATCAATTGCAGAATACCCATACGAGGTCCTGTATAATATAAATATATACATGCACACTCACCCCTCACTAACCATCCCCTTTGAGACTGATTTAAGACTTAAGACTTGAACAGAAGAGCAGGTATAACGTAACAGCTATAGCTTTGAATTTAGAGGATCTGCTGGGGATCAGTATGAGCCGGAGTGCTGCCAAGCTTGTTATACAGAGGGAGAACCCTGCTGCTCCCTCTCGACAGCTATGTCCTCACACAATATGCTCAGGTGTTATAGTGACTTTGTGCTAAAGACCTGGCAGGTTGCAGACCACTGAGTATCTGATCCAACACTGCTCAAGATCTACTTACAGTTCTGTGAAAACGAAAGGTCAGGGATTCAATCTCTGGCTGCTCTAGTTCATGGGTGTCCTTTGTCAAGATGATGAACCTCCAACTCGTTGACGCATTTATGTGAGTGTGTGGAACGTATGAGCACCTTTAAGGTTTAATAAGAGTGGGAAACTTTTCGTGTATTTATGGCACTTAAACAAAACTTGGTCAGATTTCACCAGTTTATTCTGTCAGCATCCACAAACATGTTTTGTTTCAGCAGTGTAATCTTTGTTTAACACTGGAACTACGTGGCTTTGGTTCAGCTCCACAGACTAACTGAGACGACACTCGTTCAGAGGTTTAACTAGTCCAGAAGTCTACTTCCAGTTTTGTTTGGAGTACATCTGCAATCAAGGTTTTTCACAGGTTTACTTTCTTTTTCTTTGTTTCCTCACTCCTTGCCTTCTGTCCCCCCAGTCGTTTGCTACCTGTGTGAAGACAGTGAAGATCAATGACGAGGAGTACAATCTGCAACTGTGTGACACTTCAGGTAAAAAATACACATAAACTGAAACAAAACAGATACTAATAGCAACAGCTGTAGCATATTTATATTAGTAGCAGTATTTCCTGTAATGTTCGGAGCTGCTGGTGATGGATAGGATCCTATAGCAATTTGAAATCTTACTACACTGTCCTTATGAAGTTCCTTATGAAATCTTTATTTTTGGGTTGCGGCACTTATGAAACACGAACAGTTATCTGGCAACAGCTGTCAATCAAAGCAGCCATGCCACTGACTTTAAGCCTCACCAGTATCTTGATGGGTGATTTAGAAAAACATTACCCACCATACAGTTTCTATGAGGGAATAAATCAGTCCAGAGATGACAAAACTGTGTTTTGTATCAGGTTGAGAATGTAATTATTTCTGCTGTAAAGTTTTAGCCCCAAGTGGATATTAAAGGAACTGCATTCACATTTTTCAGCCTCGGAGATAACTGCTTATATTTGCCTTGCTTTGGTTGCACTGTTTGTTGCGGATCTTTTTCGTGTGTGTCTGCCTCTGCAGGTCAGGAGAACTACGAAAACATCCGACTTAACACGTACACTGACACCGACGTCTTCCTTGTCTGTTTCTCTGTCGTATCGCCCTCAACCTTTGAGAACGTCACAGACAAGGTTCGTTTAGATGGTTTGTGTGTTTTATTTCTAATTTGATGCTCATGTCCTTCACTTTAATTACTACCATAACTAGAAATATAATGAGCCAAACTCTAAGGATAAACACACACAGAGCAGAGATCGTTAGGGTTGCAGTGAAACTGCATCAAACCTTTAGCTTGTCTTTTTACAGTGGGTGCCAGAGATTTTACGCTTCTCTCCAAAGACGCCATTCCTGCTGGTTGGGACTCAGGTGGATCTGAGAGATAACGAGAACACCCTGGAACAAGCCCTGACCTTTACGAGTGGCGAGGAACTGGCTCATGAGCTGAAGGCCGTTAAATACATGGAGTGTTCGGCTCGGACTCAGGTACAGAGAGAGAAAAATAAGTCTGCTGGTGGGATTCTCTGTTGAGAAAGAAGCCTTGGTATCTATACGTTTTGGGCAATTAGAATAAAAGAAATATGAACATCATCATTACTCACAGAGTCACAGGAAGTCTTTACACTTAATAAAAAGGCATCAAAAGCCATTTGTCAAAACCTAGTGGAAGTAAAAAATAACTACAAAACATCTCAGGTTGGGGTCCTGGTTACATACTCCTGATATATCTAAAACAATCACCACCACGGGGGGTCGTGGTCTGGTCCCGCCTTCGCCATTGTGGTTGATGTGGAGGTAGGGACGGGCTTACGGGGTCTGGAGAATCCCTAGGGACGTTATCCCTGGAGGACTTAACCCAGGGGTTGTGGTCATAACCTGTTTAGTGCCCCCCCCCCTTTGGCCACTTGTGCCTCAATTTTATTCCACAACTTAGACATCCACATTACTCACACTCTCATAACACATACATATAGGGCCTTGAAGGTGGGCACATTAACAGCGTCTAGTGGACGGTCTGTGTATTCAACCCCACCTCTGGCGCCGGTGCCCACCTCTCAGTTTTAAATCCATGTAGACATGGAGGGTTCTCAGGAGGGGCCGTGCTAACACCTGCTGCTCTCTGGCAGCACCATGCTCTCCCGTGTTTTAAATGCACCTTCGAACAACACGCAGCAACACTACACATGAGCGAGAGGAGGGAGGTGTGGGGTCTTCACACACTCCTGTTCTCTGCTGGCCATTGGGGCGGGGGGGCTGGGAGAAGGTGTTGGCCGTCCAATTGGGATCTAGGATGCGGGGCCTCCCTGCTGCTGCGGAGCCTGGAGCGGTCTGCTTGCCTCCACCCCGGGGGAAAGGGTAACTGGTCTAGGTGCCGTTTCCACCTCTAGGGGCGAGGGTACCTGGACCTGGGGTATAGAGTTTGTTTGGGGAGTGGCCTCTGGGCCTGCGGCTCGGTTCACTCTGGCACAGCTGGCTGCCGGCAGAGCCGGCGGGCACGCCACTGCAGCCCCCTCTGGCTTCTGCTCCGTGGCTACTGGGTGACCCCTCATCTGGGCTCTCCTCAGCTCTTCCCAGGAGGGTGACACGGATGCCCCTCCGGTGGTCCTCCTTGGGCTCTCGCACTCTGGGGCCTCTGGATGTCTGGGGCCTGGATCTCCTCTATGCCTGCTTCATGCCCTGGGGGACGGGGCTATGGCTCTCTACATCCTCTAGCAGACCATTGCATGGAGAAACCTTTTGAATACAAGCGCGCTGATCCACACAGGTGTGCACACGGGTGTTCACTGTTCATAGACATAAACTACACCTTCATTGGCTACATTGTGCGCTGTCGGTCCTGCTTGCTACACAACAACATTCAATATTTAGTATTTACTGCTGTTTACACTTAGCTAGATTAACGTGATGGTGTTGTGTTTAGTATGTTGCTCTGTTTTTTTTTTTTTTTTTTTTTTGTTGCTTGTTTTCTATTCTCTCTCTCAACAGGTGATCCAGGAGATTTTAATTTTTTTTTCTCCCCTCCTTTCTCACTGTCCCTCTCCCCTTCTGTTTTTCTTTTCCTTCCTCTTTCTTTCTCCCTTTCCTATCCCTCACTCATGTCTCTCCCGTCTGTAACAACTGAAAATAAAATAAAATAAATAATAACAACAAAGGTCGATCAAAAGGACCAATACGGCAAGGCCGTGATGATCCATTTGGCAAAGTAAATCCATTGGCGATCCTTGTTGGTCTTCAGACAACAATTCTGACGGCTAAAGAACCAAATGGGACAGGCAAAAAAACAAAACAAAACAAAAAAACAATCACCACATGGAGGCTCAACGTGCACCCGTTTTACGACATCTACCAACTTAAAACAGAATAGATCAGCAAAGCATGGTGAATTTACCGATGATACTGTTTAAAATTGCAACATAAACTAAATAATTAAGATAAAAAAAATTACAAATCACAAAAATTAAAGATCATAACAAAATTTTTAAGTATGGCTCAACATATTTGAGTAAAATACTGGCCTCTATGACTCTAATACCCGCAGCACCTCACCCAGAAGGCTTCGGCATCCCCTCTCTGTGGGTGAGCCCAGACCCCACAGGGGAAGCTCATTTCCACTGCTTGTATCTGCAGCCACTGCCCTACAAATCAGTCTGCCAACCTCCTGCTCCACTCTCACCTCACACCTGTTCTTAGGCAGCAGCTCCTCTCCCATTTCTAACTGAGAACAGTGGCCTTAGTTGCGAGCTGCAGTTCATCACGCAGTGAAGCCAAAATAACCAAAGCATCCTCAGCAGGGAAAGAGGAAACCCTCTGTGCCTAAAAATTAATAACAATTATGAACAGAACCTTTCTCAGAGTGACACTAAAAACTAGTTCATGCATGTATTACTTCTAGGCTAGACTACAGTAATTCGTTACTATCAGGATGTCCTGAAAACTCCCTGAGACGGCTTCAGTACTCTTGCTGCAGGGACTAGAAAGAGAGAGCATATTTCTCCTGTTTTGGCTTCCCTTCAATGGCTTCCTGTTAAATCCAGAATTGAATTCAAAGTCCTGCTCCTCACATACAAGGTCTTAAATAATCAGGCCCCACCTTATCTTAATGACCTTGTAGTACCATATCAGCCTATTAGAGCACTTCGCTCTCGCTCTGCAGGCCTACTTGTTGTTCCTAGAGTATTTAAAAGTAGAACGGGAGGCAGAGCCTTCAGTTTTCAGGCCCCTCTTCTGTGGAACCAGCTTCCAGTTTGGATTCAGGAGACAGACACTATCTCTACTTTCAAGATTAGGCTTCAAACTTTCCTTTTATTAAAGCATATAGTTAGTGCTGGAACAGGTGACCTTGAATCCCCCCTTAGTTACACTACAATAGGTCGAGGGTGCTGGGGGATTCCCATGATGCATTTAGTGTTTCTTCTTCACTCACTATGCCTCTCTGGATTGAATCATTAGTTATTATTAATCTCTGGTTCTCTTTCACAGCATGTCTTTTGTCCTGTCTTCCTTCTCTCACCCCAATTGGCCACGGCAGATGGCCCCGCCCCTCCCTGACCCTGGTTCTGCTGAAGGTTTCTTCCTGTTAAAAGGGAGTTTTTCCTTCTGTCATCAAAGTGCTTGCTCATAGGGGCTCATATGACTGTTGGGGTTTTCTTTGTATTTCTCTGTTTTCTTTGTATTATTGTCAGGTCTCTACCTTACAATATAAAACTGCCACGCACCTTTGAATATGTTCAGAGGATAAATACTTGATGCAGTGTGTTCAAGGACCAGGATAAAAACTGCCTTTCTCTTCCTGAATCTGAGGTTTGATCAGTGCCTTTCAAGGAAGGAACAGTCTGTGGCAAACAGGGGAGCCACCTCCCCAGTGTGCCAGCACAGAGGCGCTGTACTCAACGTCCATGCAATGTTTCAGAGGCACGTCAGCAGGACTGCAGAGACCATCATGATTTCTCACATCTTAGATTTTTCCTTGTAGAGTATCAAAATAAACAGTTTATATTCACAATATTTCCTGTTTATCTTGATACTCTGCTAGGAAATAGATCTTTATTTTGATCTGATAACTCCACCTCTCTCTGAAGTAGAAATCTTTTTTTCCTCTTGTTAAATTTGAGTGTCTCTTTCTGTCTCGTTTTCAGGAAGGAGTGAGGGAGGTGTTTGAAGAGGCCATCCTGGCAACTCGAAATCCTACAGATAAAAAATCCACTTACTTCTGTGTTCTGCTATAAACGGAAAAGGAGAAGTAGAAGAGGAAAAGAGGGTTTAGGAGGAAGAAGGGGAGGTGGACCCGGAATCATTAGCCCATATGAGTGTTCAGCCATAATGGCATAGGCTGGAGTCTGTGAATCGACATCATAATTTATTAATTAATTTTAAATTTAAAATGTTTTACATTTTAAAATAGATGTGTGTGTGTGTGTGTGTGTGTGGGGGGGGGGGTTAAGTTAGGAAGAGAATTAAACAGTTTTACAGCAGTAATCTTTTGCCTGCTATGGACCGTTTTCCCTCCTCCATTTGGGATGGAGGCTGCACAGCATCCTGGTGAGGCCGAAGAATTGCTGCTTTTCTGGATACTGTGACAATGTTAAACTGTGCTAAACCTCCACATCTCTGAAATGATTTAATAGGTAATATATTTATTTACTTGTTTATTTCATATATAAATGATTATATTTTTAGTTGGCTGTTTACTATTTTTGATTGTTAGTCAGAGAACTGAGTAACTGCACTGTCGTGTTTTCTTTGTGGTGAATGACAATAAAGAATCCTTGAATCCTTTAAACTGTACATTGTAAAGCTTCTCTTAAATTATCTGAATTCATTTCCTGGTTAGAGCTAAACATTTAAAAGTGCTTAATACATTTGACACATTTAGTACTCGATACATGACAGAGCACACATCCCTGCTGTGTCTCTGGGAGCTGTTAAATCAGGGTTCTGGAACTTTTTCCTCCCTAAATAAGAGTCAGGCAAGGTTATTTTTTTAAAGTTCCTCTCTAATAATGTCTGAATTCATTTACTGATTATAAGTAAACATTTGAAATGTGTTTAATTCAATCTGCAGATCAAATGCTCCCTACATGAGAGTGGACACGTGGTTTACGTCTGCAGAGCAGATGCAGTGTCCACTCACAGAACTCTAGGGGGAGCTGCTCCACAGGTTTTCAGTGGGCCCTGGTGGATCTGGTATGTAAATGACCTGGGTTCATTTTGATTGGCAGACTAAAATGGATCCTTCAGACCAACATGGCATGGAGGCTGAGACCCGCTCACTCCTTTGTCTGACTAACAGCAGCAGCCAGGCGTGAACCAGACGGAAAAGAAAAAATGAATTAGCCCTTCATTCACAGCACAGCCCGATCTCTCTCTCCTACTCCCATCCTCTTCTTCAATGCCTTCTCCCATCAGCCTTTTCTCCGTGCGTCTTTGTGTCTTTTGTCTGAGCCTTTGAGGTCTTTGTGTTTGAGTCCTCTCAGCTCACCTAAAAACTTGAGTCATCATCCTTTCGCAACAGTTTCTAACCACAGTGATCACTGATACAAACTGCAGGAGCAACATGTTTACAGTTGTCTTATGTGGAGCTCTACCCTCATCATGTTCGAGACATAAACCACTCAAATGAGCTTAAAGGCCATTTATCAGATCTCATTTAATACACTGTTATATGCAGTTACACCTCTGGATAAAAATAACCTGAACACAATCCCATCCACATAAACATGCAGATTTTTATCCACCGAAAAACTTTCAAGTGAGACTTCCCAGAGGTGAGGAAATAGAAAAAGTAGAAAATCAGTGTATAAAATGTTGGTTTTCAGGCTTATATGCAGAAATGTGTCCTTGTTGTGCAGATGATAATAAATTAAAGGTCATTCCACACCAGGTAGTTTGCAAGGAGGTAAAAGATGCATTAATGCTCATTTAAATCCATTTAAAGTATCTGGAGCAAAAGTACTTATCATGCAGAATAATGTACATGATATTAATGACTTTATATGATACAGGGACTAAATACAGCCTGAGGGTCAGAGATGGCCTGCAAACCAACATCAATAAGATGTAGCAATATGTCAAGAGGAGTGACAACAGTGAGTCTGCACTGCTTTGACTCAGCGAACTTTGCTCTGGCTCATATCAGTCCTTTGGCGAGAGGGAGCTGTATTGCGGTTGTAAATAAATGTAAGGGACAGAGACTGGTGAAAAAACTGTCATTTACAGGAAAGTATTACAACGATGAGACTTCATGTGGAAGCTGCAACAATGTGTGGAAACTAAGTTTGGTATCTTTCTTTGTCTGTAGTTAATAAGGACAAAGTTAATACATTTGCAAACATGCAGTAAGATTACAGAGAGGCAGAGCGATCTCAGTGTATCACCTGATGAATATGAGTGGCTGCCAGCATGGAGGTGAAGGGGACCACCTTTGCAGACTTCTAATGCTGGAGATTTTTTATCCCCTCTAGTGCATGGCCCTTTTCTCACCTTAAAGCTGGTGCCACCTCATTTTCCCCTTTGTGCACTCACCTGTGCACCAAAGTGCTTTACAGAAGACAAAGTTATTATTTGGTTTTTTTTTTTTTTAATTATGTTGTTTAGAATTTTTACACTGCAATGTGAGTGCACCACTTTAATCTACAATAAGTCTACAATAAACTGCCTTTTTGAGTTGATTCCCGTGTTGCGAGTGCTGCATCTGTTGCCTGCACACAGCGATTCATGACAGAATCCGCCAGTATGAATTTTTCATGTGTAATGGCGATACATGACTTTGATCTTCTCTGGGATAGCACAGCATTGCAGTGGTTTCTGTGCAGCGTTTGCATGTTTTCCTTGTATCTGCCTGGATATTCTCCAAAGTAGATGTATTTGCATTTATATAGTCACATTTAGTCACATTTTAACCACACATTCATGCCGCGTGTTTTTCTGTACACTTCCAGCACTTTATCTACATCACATTCATGGCCACCTTAGAATGAGCAACTAACCTAACCCGTGCATGTCCTTGGACTGTGGGGGGAAGCCAAAATACCCACACAAGCATGGGGAGAACATGCAAACTCCACACAGAAAGCCCAGGAACCAGAAACGTGTGGTTAAATGCAGCTTGTGATGTAGAGCACCTTGTTTGGCCAGTAAGACTGGAAAAGTACTTTGCAATTGTGCAGATATCACAAAATAAACCAGAACTGAACTGAATAGATCAGCAAACTGTGACCAGTATCGGACTCGAACATTAGATAGAACCCTCTGTTTGTAAATAGCAACCATTCATAAGAGATTTAGCTTCTGCAACAGCTTGTTTCATACAACAAAACAGATGAACTGAGAAGATAAATAAGGATTATTTTTGTAGGCCATGCAAAGCTACTCTAATACAAACAGAGCTGAAAAAATTAGTAGACTTTAAATTTACTGACAGTTGATCGTTTGATTAATCTTTTTAACTTTGATAACTAAAAACAAGTTTTTGTGAGTGGAATAACTGCAGCTCAGTATCGTTGTAGGTAAAATAAAATCAAATATTTTTTAAATGAATAATTTTCACATCATGTCTGTGAAGGTTCTCAGTCATCCAGGTCATCGTAGTCAAAGGAGCTTGCAGAGAAAAGCGTCTGGACTTCTTTAAGTTACTTGAAGACGTTTCACCTCTCATCCGAGAAGCTTCTTCAGTTCTAAGGACTTTTGACTTTAGTTGCCTTTTACAGCGAGCGCTGCCTTTCTTCTTCAGGTATTCTGAAGTTTTTGTTCATATTTTGTAAACACAGCAACATCTCATCCAAACTTTTTTTTTTCCATTTTCAGAGAATTTAAGTCCCGATCAACGTGAAAACCCACATCAAACTGTTTCCAGATCAGTTTCACTTTTACTTTGAGGAACTTGATGATTTATTACATTTGTGTGGCGGCCATCTTGCCTCTGACACTTTGACTGCTGTCTGTCCCAAAGTGCCTCTCTCACTGCCGCTACTGCTTGGTAGTGTGGCTGGTGAATATTATTGGATGTCCATCTGACCTCATTATAAGTGTGTTGCTATGGGCAACCAGCATGGAGAACAAGGAGGGGAGAGAGAGAGAGAGAGAGAGAGAGAGAGAGAGAGTTGCATCATGGGATAGAAACCTGACCTCTGCCTGTTTTTTTGTTTTTTTCTTCTTCTTCTCTCTGTGGACGCACATGTGCAGCCATGCACACACGCGCACACAAACACACACACACACACACACACGGTTTGTTTGAACATAGATACATAAAAGAGGAGGAGGAAAAAGATAATATCCGTTTACTGCTGAATGTAAAGAAAAAACCACAAGACTCGTGATGAACTTGCACACAGTGGACACTTCTGTTGAAGGAAACCAGCACTGTTTGTGGTTTGTCAGGTTCATTTACACCATGCAAAATATAGCTAAGAGAGGTGAGTTATGTGTACATTGTTACAACATGACTAAAGTTTCTAATAGTGAGGTCAGTGTATGCACAAGGCCAAAAACTTAGGCTTGAAGCTGATCTGAACACTCAATTTTATGTTTAGATGAAGTTATAAAGAGGGAAATCTTGGATTTCCGAGGGGCAGCCAATCAGAAGACTTAAAAGATAAAACATAAATCTAAACATTTTGAATCTGGATGTCAGGAGCGCAGGGTGGATCAGATTGTGAAATAGAGGGACGCTGTGTGTTTGTTTCTCCCACTGACCATTTCTTATTGTTTATATGTCACTGCTGCGTTGATTCCCAATGGTGTGTCCAGTGCAAAGTCCAGGTGTGCTTTTGGCTTTTGTGTCAACCATACATCACTCTTTGAACTGCTTAGAGAGTAACGAACAAGGTTGAAATTAGCACATTTCAAAGGGTCTTATTGATAATGAGGCGGTAAAACAGATCGTTCTCAAGCGCGGTGCGAACCACAGCTAATTAAATAGTTGCTGTTATAGTCGGTTCAAACGAGCTATTAAAAGTCCCTTCATCTGACAAAATAGAAATAAAAGAAGAACTGAAGAGGTTTCAGATGACAGTTATACTCTCGGTGTTGTAATGTGTGTATTTTTATATAACATGGCAATAAAGCTGCTTCTGTTTTTGAGTTTTATGTTTCAATGTGTGTGTGTGTGTGTGTGTGTGTGTGTGTGTGTGTGTGTGTGTGTGTGTGTGTGTGTGTGTGTGTGTGTGTTTACCGTTTTTAGTGTGTGTTAACATTTTGTGCTTGTATTTAAATTTTTTTGTCTCTTTATTGTACTTACTCCAGCGATACTGTGTAGTGTATCGGTGCTGTAGTGTTATTGAACCACATACCTTGTGCACGTTTATTCATCCATATCGTGTTTGCATATAAAGTTTGGTGTATTTTTGTACGTCTTTCCAAATATTGTGTTTCTATCATTTTATTTTGTGTGTTTACCTTCAGATTTTATTGTTAAAAAAAACATGTGTGTTATAGTGTTATAGTGATTTCATGTTGGTGTGTCTAATTTTTGTCTGCACTCAGGTGTATTTTTGCATTATTTCTTTTTATTTGGTGTGTTTCGTTTTTTCTTTGATGGAGTACATGTTGGTGTATCCACAGTGCGTTTCATTTTGTGTTTCCATGTTTGTGTCTCCTGTTTTTTAATTCATCTTCCATGTTTCTTTGTGTCTACTTCTTTATCTTTACTCCATACTTCCTCGTTTTTGTGCTCACATGTTAAATCTTGCGTCTTTCTTTGTGTCTGTGCCTCCATATTCTTGCTCATGTGAGTCATTATTTATGTGCAGTGTACTTTTTT